GCCCAACAGGAAATGCTGAAGACTATGGCTCCCAACCACTCTCTCTTCTTCTTTTGTCTCGTTGATTTGATCTTCATCTCACAAACATCACTTGACCACGTTTATAACAACGTCCACATTCAGACGAAACAAGTGCGAAGGCATATTGACCGCTACAACAAGAAGCTTGACCAGTGGCATTCTGGCTTGCCTGACTGCATGCATTTTCGAGATGACCACAGGGCATCCACTACCAGTGATCCATACCAGGTCTCTTTGTCACTTCACTATTACAGCATCCGTATAGTCCTGAACCGACCCTGTTTTACTCTGCCAAAGGCGAATGAAAAGACCGGCATCAGATCCTTCCGCTCTCACTTAGAGCGGAATACTGCTTTGCTCTGCTTACGCTCCTCGTTAGCAATAGTCTTTCTTCTTCCTAATTCGCCAGATGTCGACTGGGCCTATCATGTTGCCCCTTGGTGGGCCTTTTTACATTTTCTTGTTCAAGCCACCACAATACTTCTATTGCATTTGTCAGTAGAGGACTTCAAAACTGCGCAACCCAGCGAGGGCTCTTCCAAATACACCGCCATACTTGCAGATGTGATCACAGCATCTGAAAGAGCTATGAATTGGCTGCACTGTCTTAAAAGGACAGACGAAGCGGCAAAACGGGCTTTTGAGCGGTTGAATGATTGCGTCGAACGCATCAAATCACAGAAGGGCTTATATATGAATGGCTTTTATCTAAAAGATGCATATAGGACGACAACTATTGTCCCTCTTCATGCACAATCCGGCATTTCAGGGGACTTGAGTGACAAATCGAGTTCTCAGGGCCTCGAAACTTTTTGCCCTACCCCCCAAAATGAGGATGCGCAGATTGAGAAGAAAAATAGTAGTGCATTTCGCCAATGGTCAGAAGTACCAGGAGTGGCTCTCGACGATCTGCAGTATCCCTTCGGAGTGATTGGTGACTCTGATATGTCAGGTTACATTCAACACCGAACCGATTCCATGTTGAGCGAGTTACTAAGTTCACTAGGCGTGCCACCAAGTCAATCTTTTGATGAGCTGTGACTAGGAGCCATCCTCCCTCAATCCCGAGTATGACGCGTATATCAAATTACATTTCATCCAGCATTGAAGATACAATACACATAATTCTTTGCAATGCCTGAAACATCATCTACTTTGTAGTTGTAAGTTCGACGTCAAATCAAGCACCAATGGGGGCCAGCAGATGGCCCTCCTTGTACATAAGAAGCAGCAGCTAACCCTCATATAGCTGGTATTCACTAGGGCAGAAGTTTCTTGCAGATAGTCGTTTTGATAATATATGATGCATTATGTGGTCATCCACAATGTGATGATGGATACAATGAGTCGCTTTTATGCAAGTTAGCGGAACCCAAGCCGCGGTACATACCACGGTCTGAATTTAGCTGGTTACATATTACGTGAACATGGATGCTGTTCAGACTAGCTATTATTGGAATAAGGGCTATAAAATGGAAAGTCTTTCTGTATTGCTTGTGAGTTGGCAGTTTCGAAAGAAGTCCCTTCATCAGAGACACTAAGCTGGGCAGAGGAAGAGAAGGGAAGGAGAGAAAGGCCGAGTCCTGCTATCTGCTTCTGTCACGTGTATCTATATCCACTCTTTTTATTTAGTCTTGGTTTTCCGTACATTTAAAATACACCGTTCTTGACCCCTTTTGTTGACAGGGATGGCTGGCGACGACTCTCACCTCCTCGTGGTGCCGGCTGGGAACCTGTGAATGCCTTAGGTGGGATGTATCCGCAGGACTAAGAAGAGTCACCGCTGGCTAGAGCTACGGCGGGAGCGAGAGCCCGGGGGCCCTGACCCCACGCACAGGCGGCAAGGGAATACCATCGATGCTCAAAGGACAGTGATTTCGAGAGGTAAATCGGTCGGTGAAATGCTAGCAAGACCGCTTGCGCATGATAGCTTGGCTCACCGGGAGCTGCAGTGAACTTCAACGTGTATGAGCTTGGACGGAAAAAGGAAGGCTTAGGAGCCACATTCACCGGCCTTCTATCAAACAGGGAAGCATATAAGCACTCACGATAGCATGCAGTTATGTGTATGTCCGAATGATCCGTTCCCGCTCGCTCGCACGTGTCGACAAGCTCAGCAACGCGGAGAGGAAGAGTAATCAGGAGGACTCTATCAGACGTGGTTCTCGGGTCATAGGGCTTCTCTTTGATTCGGCCGTCCTCGATTTTGTTTGCTCGATTCAGAACTGAGATGTCAATTTTTACAGTAACCTGCGCTGAGCCGTTTTAGTTTAAATCGCGGCAGAACTGTTATAGTAATGGTAGTAATACCATCAATAGGTCATTGTTATGGTACCGTGATATTACATTGAACCATCCATATGTGTTTTGTAGAGCGGGCAGGATCTTCAACTAGCTTCCAACCTTAGCAAGGGGTCGGAGTCAACAATCCATCATTCTCCACTGTGTCTCTCCACGCATGTCCATACGGTATCTGCGCTGGCTAAAGCAAGAAACTATGTAAGAAAATCGTGATGGAAGCAGAAAGGAGACCTCAATGGCTCAATCACAAAGTAAAGAGAATTCCAGTAGGAAACCAAGTACCGGATGGAATAAGACCGATCGATGCCCTTCGAGTCCGTAATAGGGCATAGATGGGGTGGATGTATCTCAGGGCAAGCAGATCGCTTAGGCTCTTGCGTCTCCTTTCCTTTGGATCTGCACGTCCGGCAGTAGAGCGTGCTTGTACAGGTCTGCACGGCACACATTGAACGTTGGGCGTATTACAGCGTGAGCGGGAATGTGATGGATGCATCTGATGATGTCAGAGGTCCTCGCTGGTGGTTCTCTGTGTAGCTGTATGCAAGCGAAGGTACCTGGGAAAGCGCAGACAAAGTCCCGGTTAGCTGGCTTGTGCGATAGTTTGGCACCTGTACTTGTGTAAATAAGCACTGAAACCTCAGCGAGGAATTAATACCTGATATCCATTGGGCAGATCACTCCGGGGATATGCTTCTTGCTGCTGTTGAAATAGTTCATTGCCAGCCATTACTGGGTAGCACATGCTGAACGGACCGATGAGATCCTCGTCGTAGGCGATCTTGCCCGCCGTGTGTATTGGAAGGAGCCCAGGGACTACTGAGATGACTGAATCGCTGTATTCCGTCTGGTAAGCGGCAACCAAGTTGACATTCTTTGGTATAGCGTGGAAGAGAGGAGAATGGTTGTAGTCTGATTGCCAGTAGGCGTCACAGGGGGCCATGAAAGGATAGTAAAGGGCTTGTGTGTGGAATGCCGATAGCTGGGGAGTGCACTGTTGAGCGAAAACGCTTTGGCGATCATTGGAAATCGCGTAGTATTTACAAGACGCAAGTCGGCCAGACGAATCCAGGTGAGGCTTGACATCTGCAACAGACTCGGACGCTCTTCGAGTCGCGGTGGGAGATGACTTTGATAAAATTTGCTCTGTGTGTGATTGTTCTGGAGTAGTAGAAAATGGAGCTCGTCGCTCCAGATCCTCCGACCGGCGCTTTAGCTTCTTTCCTGTAAGATCATAGCAAGTGAGAAACATGTACAAGGCTGTCAAGTCAAAAACGGTACTCACGATAGTTACGTTGAGCTATGCGGTTCTGAATGCGACGACGCTCTGCGAGATCGGTGATTTGAGTCCAGTCTTCGTCGGCGTGGACGTTGGGTTTAAATTTGCTGAGATAATTTTGACTGCCACGAGATGCTGAATGAACATCGTACTCAGTGGAGCAATGCATGTTGGAGACAGATGGCGGGGGATCGGCAGTATGATAAGTATAAGCAGGATGAAAGCAAGGAAATTTACTGTAAAGGGTTCTTCGAACTCAGTTACACCCCCTTTTATCTCTTAGTTCATCGCAAACTCGGCTCTAAAACAACGTCCTAGCCTTTTAATGGCCTAGCTTGTTAATCATCTACTGTAACAAAAATATACTTCAAGGAAAAATCACATGATGAAGGGCCCCGTCATGTCCCGAAAATAGTCATAACATAATATTAATGATCGCAACTATGTTGCATCCAGCCTCAGCGGCCATATGAGACGTGGTAAACGATTGACTCTAACATATTAAAGATGAGGCCAAGATATGAAACGGAAAGCCTTGGGACCATATCCTTTAAACTGGAAGTCTTAGTGAAGACGGTGTGATGTGTAAAGTATCAGGAATTGGCGAACAATGAAAGGGAGGAGGGCCAGCTCGCTTGGGTGGCCAGCTCGCATGGGAAATACGCACGAGCCAAGCGTGTCGGATTTTGCCTATCCATCATGGAATTTGAGAACATCTTCCGTGTCAAAAGTACCCTTCACGTTGAGTCGACAAGACAGCTTCTGCCGCCGGAGACCGGGAGCCACTCCCACCCTATCACAGGGTATTAAACGTAAATTAAAGCCCCACCTGTATCAGTAGGATTAGTACACGGGCCTCATTTTGGCTAAGATCGTTTTACACCCGGAGGAAGGGACGGGTGATCCGCCCGTGGTGAGGCTTGGAATATTCCCTACTGTGTAGCTTTGAATACTGTCTCACTTGTGTAGATAACTTATGCCTGATAATGAGTGAAAGTAATAGTATCTCTTCCACTTCCAAATATTCTGAACTCGTGGATAACTCGGCAATTGTCAATTATGACTTGGCTCTGTCCAGCTCCCCACAAAAAAATCTGATTGAATCCTCTGCCAACGCCAACGCCAACACTTTCCGCGAAGATTTGTTCACACCCTACAAAGACGATCGGGTCAACGATAAAGTTCCTATCCCACGAAGTTCTCAGTCCAACAGTTGTATTTCTAGGGGCCGAGTCAGCCAGGCTTGCCGAAATTGTCAGGTGCAAAAGGCAAAATGCAGTGGACACCGTCCAGCATGCCGCCGGTGTCAGAAAGCCGGCGTTAGGTGTTTTTATGGCGAGCGGAAAGGGAAAAAGATGATGGAGTGAGTGCCACACGCCGACAACATTTCCGAACAATTTTAATGAAGTACTTCAGCCAGTTGGACGATCTCACCACACATATTGATACCCTTGAATCATTACTGCGCGGTCTTTATCCCAAGCTTGACTTGTCGTCAGCCCAACTAGTGGACCGGACGTTAATGGGAATGAGCCCTCGCAGTCCGTTCCCCGAAGCTTATTTTCGCAATCCAAACGCGTCGACTGTTCCCCCAAGCCATACCCAACTTTCAAGGGTTTTCCCTTTGAGGGGTGTAGACTACACTGAGGAAGACTTCAATCGTGATAAAAAAGTACAAGCGACAGGATATGTGGGCGAATTTTCGGAAATAGCGTGGTTGTACCGACTCAAACGCGATCTTGATCAACACAGCTCCACAGAAATCAAACAGGCACCCGGAAGCCCTGCAATCTCTTCCGCCGACTACTTCCAAGACAACCAGGAGCTTTCGATACTCGATTATGTCGATCTCTCATGCTGGCCCTCGCAACACATCGCTGACGTACTTGTTGACGCTTACTTCCACGCCGTACACCCTACGTTCCCTATAATTGGCAAGACCATCTTCCTGGACCAGTATCGGACCTTCTATTCGAAAACAAACTCGCGACCTCACAGAACATGGCTGGCCTTACTCAACCTGGTGTTTTCTATTGCGGCCAGGCATATGTATCTTACTGATCAGTCCCATATAGACGGCGATGACCATCGGTCATTTTTCGCACGGGCATGGAAGCTAGGGATTGGGAACGTTGCGTTCTTAGATCACTCAAACCTACAGCAGGTGCAGGTCGAGGGCTTGGCCGCTTTGTATCTTCTCTCTGTTGGTCAAGTCAATAGGTAAGTATCCTGCAAGGGAATTGTATAGTGTACAAAATCAGTTTTCTGATTCAATGAAATAATTATTTATAGGTCCTGGAAAATGATTGGTGCTGCGATCCGATCAGCGATGACCATGGGTCTAAATTTTCGAAGCCAGAGCGAGAGCGTGCCGCACTTTTCAAAAGAGCTTCGGTATCGGTTGTGGTGGGCTCTTTTCATGCTGGAGACTGTTCTATGTGAGATGACTGGCCGTGCATTCAGCATGTGAGAGACATTCTGCTCTACACCACTTCCATTACCATTCGAAGAAGAGCATTTCTGGGATGCGCGGGTTGTGCAGCTTATCGCCGACCATAACACTCGGGATGCATTTTGCAATTCTTTACTTCCGAACAGCGCCAAAAACTCATAACGGGAGCGTATAAGTCGAAATCATTTAACACAACGTCAACTCGGAATATTGAATATGCAGGAACGGACTACCTCGGTTACGCGTAACAGTCCGAGAATCAACACATCGCTATACTTCTTGTACGCAGTGGATTTAGCCCACCTCTTACGAGAGGCAATCGAAAATCTGTATGCTTCTAGAGTGGCACAGCAATCGTGGGACGAGATCGAACCCGCAATCACCACGCTGAACAACCGTGCTGACGACTGGCTATCTCACCTCCCGACTGATTTCGATTTCACAACGCCAAATACAAGCCATAGATTCGCACAGCAACGTGCCAATCTTGGCTTTCAATTCTACGCCACTCGGCTGATAATCACGCAACCTTCTCTCCGCTCTCTCTCTGTGCAGTCATCCGAAGCAAGATCTCTCGGAGCAAGGTGCGACAACCTGGCAGCAATTTGCGTCAAAGCGGCAAGTCAAGTGCTCGTCCTCCTACCTGAGAACACAGATCAGCTTTGGCTGGACCATCTCGCTCCATGGTGGTGCATCCTCCACAACGTAATGCAATCGACCACTGTCCTACTAGTCGAGCTCTTCGCCCGCACTCATCCGGGCACCCCTAAGGCTGCCAAAATTATAGACTTGGTCAAGAAAGCCATTGGATGGCTGAAAAAGATGTCTGTCAAAGATCCCGCCTCACAAAGGGCATGGCTAGTCTGCAAGGATATCCTTGCACGGCACGGGTCGAAATTTGGGTTGGACAAAGATCTGGTCGCACCGGATCCCGCATACAGATGATCATTATTTTATATACAGCTCTTGGGTATTTGATTCCGCTTAAACTCAGGTCCGGGGGAGTTGATACGTTATCCATTGATTCATTGTGCATTTTCGGCTCTATCAATATTATATGATCGTTACTCGGTATTGGAAACTAGGTTTACTAATGAAGCTACGGACGTAAGATAGGGTTTTCCTTACTAAGTGGATTTATCGGCTAAATATGGGGCTTTCTTGGCAACACAGATCGCAAAACACGAGGATAAAATGATGGCTGACTAGCCATGAACTACGATAAGCATGGCTATCAACAGTCTGGTATCAATTCTAGCTCGACATTTCTGAAATCTTAGCATTTCCATCGAAAGATCTCGCTACCATTATCTGCCTATACAGTTACGAGAAATGAGTTATGTACTGTATCGTCGTGCATGTCTTTTTACGTTTCATGAGTATCTTCCCTTACTAAGTAAAGAGACAATCCAGTTTGGCCTTGGATCTGACCACCTAGCAATTTTGTCATGCAGTTTATACCCCCACATGTACGGGTGGCAACTAACAGCAGCAACAGCAGCATTCACAGAATTCATAGCAAGCAAGGCCGGCGCACCTAGATCTGTTACCTTCTGTATCCTAGTTGCCTGTGACTGGAACAATACTTACAACCCACAGCAAATTTCTGCCCCTTCTCCTCCCCCGCGCAGGGTCATTTTCATTGAATGAGATTGATTCTGGTTTCGTCAGCATGGCTCAACATTCCCGGCAGATGATATTTGCGGTTTATGGGTTGGTCGAGTTAGTTCTCACAGGTTCCGTGGTAATAACTTGCGTGACGCCTATCACATCGGACTCAAAGGGTCGCCGTGTCGTCAAGTTATTGGTATCCAGCGTATGTACCAGATTGCAACTGAGGCCGATAAGTTCCATCCAACTTATCATAATGGAATGATATAGCGTATAACTATAGGATGAGAAACAAATAGACGGACAACACAGCTTGAATAAGTTACGGGGGTCATAAATAGGTTCAAAAACTACGGGTTCAACACCTTGATCTTGTTTTCAGCATCGTTACTCCGCTTTTGCCTGTTTATTAGCTTTCATCTACACAAAAAGTCGTCTGAGTGGCGGTTCATCCCGTATTTTCCGTACTGTGACCTGCAAAACATCTGTGGAAGCTGCAAAACTTACAATGTTTCTTTTCAGCCTGATAATTCCAGCAGCGGCTAAAGGCGTTTAAGTAAGCCCTGCTGAAAGCCGAGCCCTCATTATGCTGTGGAGAATGTCGCCACACGATTACTGTATCGGGGGTAGCACGAATAGCACGGATGGATCAATGATCTTTGACAACTGTCAGATTGCCATGGTCCACAAGATCAAGATTTTGATACTATGATCTAACCCACAACAACGTGGGCCCGATCGGATTGTTCTTACCGACTCATTGAAACCTTTCAGAATGTCGTGTGGACTACCCGATCGCCCGCTAAAGAATTGACAAATTCTAGCCAAACCCTACTACATTTATTATTTACTACGATGATCGTAGAACTCTGTCCATAGTCACCTGTCTCTGCACAGTCTATGAACGACACCCAAGATTGATTGAGACGGCAATGTGCAGATCTAGGATTTGTCTCACAGGCAGAATGAGCGCTTTCAGAATCTTTCTCGTTCAATAGAGAGAAGATAGCAGCAGCCTCGTGAAACAAAAATGCTCGTTGTGGTGAAGAAAAATGACTTCAAGGAAGCTTTGGTTTCACGTGATTTTTCTGACCACAGTACCGCAATCCCTCTCTAACAGTAGGAAGCAGAAGCAAGATATAAATTGGTGTCGAAACACTTTATTCCATCTTGAAAGTGCTTCCATTTTACACACTTCATGGACTTATATGGCGGACTACAGTTCGCGGCGGGTGGGAGATCTCAGACTTGAAGGTGCATTTGACTAGATTGGCTGCGCGTCAGATTTCATGACATGTAACCAAGGAAATGTGAAAATTTAGGCCATGCAGGGAAATAACTCCACAATTGTGGTAAGCGATTTCACCGGGCATACTAAGATGCATCCGACAAATATCCACCCAAATCCGATGTTAGACCATGAGGTCGACGATAATTTATACTGACGTAGAACAGCAAATTGTAAGTGTACCACGAAGAAAGTGGATAAGCAAGCCTAATTGGATGATTACTAGTGCGCTGACGCAAGCAAGCATACTGACAATCTAGAGATGTACTGTGCCAACTAGACGTTCACTTGCAGTACTCTGTTTTCGATATCGCAATGCAGCCGAACCCGCCTTGATTTCTGCAACTTCTAGCAATCTTTCCCTGTAATGCAACCGCGTCACATGTCAGGAATCCACATGCCCCTTCCCCGCGGGTGGGTGCGCCATTTGTCTGGCATTTACTGCCGCTCGGCACGCATCACGACAATGTCATATCGCGGTCGCGCAGGTCAGTTCTCCTCACTCGCGTAATGTACTGTAGAGATGCGCTCTGGTTTGCCGTACACTGCTGTGACATGGTAACGCTGAAGACAGTATTAAAATACAGATAAATATGATTAATTATCCACTGCGCCTGGATTTGTAAACTACGGTGGAAATGTTAAGAAAGACGCTCGCGGATTTCATGGCACAGTTTGGCGACGATGCACATCTTGGCAACGTCTGTTTCAGTCTCGCTCGCGCCAGTTTGTTTCCGTTCGGGCTTGGCAGAGCTCGCCCAGGAAGTCCGTTAACCTTTCTACGGTCCATACCAGTCCATCGATGCCATTTTTAACCTCGAGCCAAAAGAAATAGCAGTATGATTGCTTTCAATGCACTAAAGTACCTGTGTCACTCTCATGAACATAAATTGATATAATTTCGCGTCATAAATGAAGCGTTTCTCCAGCGGAACTTGGCCTCGCTAGAAGACCGTTTTATTTTGGTTCCCTAAAATAAATTCATCAGCCTTTATCACGATATGGCAATTTCGTAACTCCATGAATGCGTCAGCACGAGATATGTGGCGTAAGAGGGAAAAGAAAAAGAAAAAGAGGCGTAAACTTTCCGGAAAGTACAGCGGGGACACCTTTTCTGAAACCCTCATTTTAAATGCTCATCATGAGACGCATTCGGGTGTGTTCGTTCTTGCGTCAGCCATGCGCAAAATTACCGGGTTTCCAACACGAGTATGAACTGCTGTCAAAGTATTACGGTATTTCAGTAGTCTCAAATTAGGGATGAAAGGAAAAAAAGGAAAAAAAGGGCTGTGGGTGTCACCAACAAGTGTATTTGCAGGCAGTCTTATCGGGTTTATAATCGCACGTTCGCGACATTCGATATCATGTGGTGGAAACGTGGAGAAGCATTCATCATGTTTTAGAAGCTACGAGCAAGAAATGGTGCCTCGTGTTACTTTAGGGATACGGTCGTATCTTCTAGATATCAGAGACAAAATGCAGATCCCTAGGGACAGAATGAATTATATAAGGCTGCTGTCTGTCCAGCTGCTGCTCATCATCCTTATCTTCTAAGGCTATCTTTAGAGCTATTTTACTTCCTTGAACTCATAACACGAGTCTTTCCAACAATTCTCCATCTAAGATGTCTCTTTTCCGCGCTAGCTCCCCAAGCTCTGGGGACTTCGTGCCTCTTTTCCGCCTCTTGGACGACTATGATACCCACCGGTCTGGTCGCAGCCAGTGCGCTACTCACTCGTTTTCTCCTCGTTTTGACGTTCGTGAGAGCGAGAGTGCCTATCATCTTGATGGCGAGCTTCCCGGCGTTTCCCAAAAGAATATTGACATCGAGTTCTCCGACCCACATACACTGGTCGTAAAGGGATGCCTTGAGCGTGAATACAACTCTTCCAATTACCAAACTGAGGTGAAGGGCCCGGATAAGGAAGAGGAACAGACCAAGACCGAGTCCAAGAACGAGCCCAATCATCATTTTTGGGCTAGCGAGCGTTCGGTAGGCGAGTTCCAGCGCACCTTCTCCTTCCCGGCTCGAGTTGAGAAAGACCATGTCAAGGCCAGCCTCAACCATGGGATTTTGTCAATCCAGGTTCCTAAAGAAAATGTTACTGCTACCAAGAAGATCGAAATCGAGTAAACGGTCATTCTCAGATATTCCGACGCATCTCAATCTAGTGTGTGCATGTAAGCCACGAATGTAGGTTGCTATTTTGGCCGCTTAATTCTGTTGTAAGTACAAGCACTTCTAGACTCTTTAGGTCGGTCGTCTGTTCGAGATTATTAATTCCACAATGTCTTTATTCAATCAATTAATCATGATTCACGTACAGATTTTTGAAAACTGATTGTAGCGGTAGAACCTGTGACAGACAACAGTGTCACGGGTAGAGCTCGGCATCAACCGCGGTCTGACCGCTGCGGTGCGGTTAGGTAACCGCAAAAATGCTGTTGGGGTTAGGAATTCCCCTGACTGCGGTTGGTTATGCCGCTGTCGGAAACCGCATATGGTTAACCGCGGGTTACCCGCGGTTTGACAAATAGGTCAAACAACTGGGAGCCTGAGACCTGGATATTTTATGCGTTTTTTGGCTGTAATTTTGAAGTAATTAGGTTACAGGCTGGATAACCTGCGACTATATATTTTTGGCTTTTCATGCTGAATGTAGGAGAATTTACATCCAAGCAAGTTGATATCTAGAATGTTGGAATTAAATAATTAAATCTAGTTATAGTATTCAAAATCACTATCCTCTTCGCGACGCTTAGAAACTCGCGTTGAGTAGCGGGTCACCTGGGTGCTGTCTCCTGGAGCAGGCAGAGGAGGTTCAGCTTCATCCTCGGATCCATTCATTTCTTGAGCACTTCTCTTCCTCCCTACGAAGGAAATCCTTGGTCCTCTACCTTGGGTAAGTGCGAGCGGTGGCTGTGTAGGAGGGTGTTCATGGATAGCCACTCCGAGTCGATCAACTTCATCAACTTGATCATCTTCCTCGTTGTCACTGATTGGGTCGAGATCATCCTGAGTATGCGTGTCTCTCTCCTCGTTGGCTGCTTCGATCTCTTGGATTGAACGGTACTCCTTTATGAAGGTAAACTGCTCCTCTGCAACATCGAACTTCGACGTACACATGAACATCATGAGTTCTTGGATAGTAGAGGCATTTAATGACCCTCAACGATAATGGCAGATGTTCCGAGCAGAGTTGATGTCCGATGGGTGATCCTCATTATCCTCGATCGCATCTCACGTCTTTCGATGCCTGGCAGCTCGACCGGTACCGGGATGAGCTCATGTTTCAGTCTGGCTCATGGCGGACGAGCCCTACTTTCGTCGGCGAGCAGGCTGTGAGTCTAAGTCGGCGTGCAAGGAGAAGGTGAGGCGAATCAAGCCTCAATTTCACGCCGAAGACGCCGCGTACTGTGAAGGACGTTCGCCGGCAGGCTTCTTCTATTAATAAATTGCAAGAAGAGAACCCGTCGCGCGCGGATGAAGCGTTTGAGCAGATCGTGAAAGGCGCCTATTAAGCTATACACGGCGCGGCCATTTTACTCAGGAAAACCAGGAATTACGCGCCGCTAATGCGAGAACCACCCAAAAGGAGAAGCGTATGAGGAAGCGTATAGCTCACAAAGGTGGCATGTCAGTTTCGGAGGCTATGGAGATAGTATCAGGTCTAGGTATAGCCGATGAAGTAGGCCAAGGTGGTGATAGCGGTTCATCACCGACGCCGAATCAGGCCAACAACAGGAGACTACAGCGATGCAGTATTTGTAAAACGCTTGGACATAAAAGAAATAGATACCCAGGGGAGGTCTGGCTAGCTTCATTATTAATTATCAGGCGTTGTTGTGCTTTTTTTTTCAATTTCATGGTACCATGTTTGGTGGGGTGGCCAGCTCGGTAGTGAAATACGTTATTATACAATGCTCCAGGTCAGACAACCAGTTGCAATCCGCATTCCAAGCCACAAGACACCTACACCTTCTTGGAAGCATTGTCCATGACTCGCTGGCTTGACCAAGGATAACGATCAGAGTGTGGAAAGCGAGAGAGCTGGCACAAAATACAAATTGAGATGAGATGTCTCCGTGTAGCAATGTCTGCTCAAGTAAATAGGTGCTGTTGTGGATACCCCCTGCTTGGCATTGCCATAGGCGTCTGCAGTGGCAGTACTTGGATTATGAGTGAAAGTCCACAGCGAACGCTCCAGTTTCCAGCCAAAGAACTCGAGTGGCTGTAATCCATCTCATGCAACCCCCTCATCAGGCTTCTCCGCTTCGAGGCTTTTTATCCCTGAGCGCGTTGCTACCAGCAGCGAAGTCATCCAGAGTACTTTTATCCTGGTCTAGATTGACTCTAGGGTCCAGCTTGTTAAGAATCCCATTATCGTGAAGACCACCTTTGCCGTAATTCCGTGCGTATCCTAAATGGGCATCGGGAGCCTTCTGATTCCCTAAAACCCTGATTAGATTTTGTGAATATGCAGACCAATGAAGAAGTAAATAGAAGGGAAATGATTTACGTCTGTTGCTGTCGACTCGAGGGTCAAGTATGTTGGCAAGCTTGAATTTGTGAGGGCCGTCGTTGCTCGACTGATTAGACATTATGAAATCAGTGCCCGGCAGTTTCACCATGATATACTTGGGATCCTCTGTTCTTGTGTAAACAGCAAGATTTATATATTATATCACTTCGTGTAAGTAGTTGGTTTTATGACGTATAGGTGACGTCTATACCTTCATGGCATACAGGCCATTGATTGGTACTAAATTAATGAAACGTGACGGAGTGCACCACAATCCAGTTGGACACAGGTCTGACGCCGAATGCTTCAGTGCTACATATCAGGATGACGGAAATATCAGGATGACGGAACATACGTCAAAATCTGATGCTCCAATAAAATTAAAGGCATGCTAAGCAGGAGCTCATATACCGAATTGTAGAATTTCGGTCAGAAACGTTTATTAGCCTGGAAGAATACGTCCCGTTTTAGTTCGAGGTTTCAACTGTGATAATAAAAAGGATTTTCTTCGGATTTGCAACATAATATGTACTCTTACATCAGTAGACCTCGTTGTACCTATACCGAATCTGTAACATGACCCACGTTTGCCAGTAAATCCTGTCTCGACCGGTAACTTAACACAGTAAGAGAGAATCATCCACGTACTTGCACTGCCTCATAATACGTACTTGCGTTTAACAACATGAATATTATACTGTGACACAACATCGTCCGCCAAGGTTAGAGATGGCAATTCACCGGCAGCTGGTAGCTCTAACGATAGCAAATCTTGCGCACAGAGATAGGCCGTTCATTTAAATGAAGCCTACTCGCATAATTGTCATTTTCTGCTGCGGTAATTCTAGAAGTTAATCTTAGTTTACTGCGTATGATACCCGCATCGGCGGTCTTCGGCGAAACCGGGGTTGTTAAAGTCATTGAAGATACACAAAGCGTTGTTTAATTAAGTACCGTAGCTATCCTGATTATTCATGAACTAGGCATGGACGATTTTTTGAAGATCAGACAAGGATGACGATGTTTGTTGAACGACAAACATTCTAAAGACCGCGCGGGACACAAGATCTTGTTACAGCATAATTTAATAATTTCACAGTTGTTGTCCGCCATCAAACGGTACGTTACAGTATGATACGCATGCTTCTGATCTCAACTGTAATTTACCTGCACGACTTTCAGCAACTCCTGAATTTCATCCAAATGAAAGACACATGGCCATGAAGATTAGATACCGCCGGAAATTCTTGATATATCAAGAGTCCGGCTACTTCCACAAATTAGTTGCTGGCTTCCATCTGGTTAAAGATGTGACTGATCCTGCCAATGGAGTGATGGCGTGGCGCTTGCCGATTATAATTCCAAACGCTGCGTACGCTAAGTAGAAAGTAAATTCTATATTTTCTTAGATTATACTTTCTTCGGAAACGAATAGAAGGGGCTCTGCTAGAAGTTTTCGCAAATAAGGAGGAAAAAGACTAAGAGTATAGTAGTTGCTAAACTATCCGTCATGATATGCAGAGAAGAGGTCACGAATTGACTATTGAAGACATGCATAAAATGTTACGTAGAATTTGGTAAGGATTTGGCCAAGGATTACCAGTAATGCAAAATTCAAGTTGCCCCTTGAATAACATGTTGCATTGGACTTTATTGTATCGAAGTTACGATGTAATGCTGATAGATAATGAAATGGGGGATGCTCGATGGCGGTCTGGCATGCCAGACGGGTCGATATCAATAGAGACGAAGGGCAACTTAATACTCCCACGCCTAGTAATAGAGCATGAGGAATATCGGACGAATAGACCCAGTCCTACCGAGCTTAAATAGATGAAATGAATTTTGTAGAGAGCAATGGTCATCTTGGATTGAGTACCTTCTCCAGGCGTGCTTTAGGTTTTGAAAGTAAAAAACCAACCAACAACCGTCCGAGCACACAATGGACGATGTTCAAGCTTTCCGCAGATCGAGGCTCATAATTGGGTCAAACCGACTGCCACTTTCTGTGAAAGAGAAAAAAGGTAAATACGAGGCGACACCGTTCTCTGGTGGCTTACCGCTTTGCGAGGGCTGAGCGCTACTGATTATCTGTGGCTACGATGGCCGGGGATGTAGATCGACGAATCGGACAGAGAAGGTGTGAATCCGCTCCTCGATCCGAAAGCCGTGGTCTGTGAGGTCATCTCGTTTGTGATCATTTCCATGGCTTCAATTGCCCTGTTTTCGAGGTCCAGCCAAAAGGCCGGGACATGGTGGACAGCTAATCCGAAACGTGGCTTCACCAGGGTAGTGTGGTTGCCCAGATCGGTCAGCCACTCTTTGTTGTTACGGGCAGTCTCGGCTAATGCCGGGTTGTTCTTGAACCGGATCACATATCTAGTCTTAGTGGTACCAATGCTCGCAACCTGTGCGGCCTAGGTGGATGGGGTTATCAGCAGTGCTGATTTGAACGCAAATCTTGTCTTTGTCATTTTTCACCGGGTGTTCCGCGGATGAGGATTATCTGTGCCGGCTGCGACAGTCGCCCACGAGTGTGTCGGGCTGGTGCGTTCAGTCCCCCTACCTGCGACCGCAGCGCTAGGATCTCTTCGTGTAGCTTCTCATTCTGGGGTTGGAGCTTGTTGTTTTAATCTTTTACTTCTCTCGGTGCGCTCCGGGTGGCATGAATGAGCGTGGTTTGTTCTTCAATGGTGTGTTGCAGGTGTACGATAATCTGCCAAATTTCTTTGGTTGTCGCTCGACCAGTGCTGGTTCCGGTATTGCCCAGCTCCACGGGTTCGGAGTCCGCGTGGGTCTGCTCGCTTTCCACTCGTGCATGCCTGCCGGTCCGGACCGTGGTCGTAGGCGCAATGTTCTCCCATACGTCGATCCCCATGCCTTTTCGGGCATTTGTGGTGGCAGGGGGCTCGGGAGCCACGTGGGTGGGTCTGCCATCTGTCTGGCGTTAGCTCCCGGTCGGCACACAACGATAACGTTGTATTGCAATAGTATCAGCCACAATGTCTCCTCCCAATTCTTTCTGCTGTTACAGTAGAATTCGAAAATGATTTCCGTTCCGACAGTTAGATCCTAAACCATATCCCACTAGGTTGGGTACAGGGTCGTATATTAGTTTAGCTGGGAACTCAACTTCGACGAGAGGTCAGCGTAAATGAATCACACACGCATACTGTATTGTTCGTACAATGCGCCGTGCCTGCTCAATATCACAATCAAATCATGCAAGGGGCCTTGGCTTACAATGTGTACCGTGGCAGACTTCTTCACCGAGGATCATGCACATTGGTAGGGTTGTTTATAGCGCCAAAAACTACTTAGATATGGACCAATTCAACCGAGTGAAAAGCCACACTAGCGCAGTGCAATTATGCTCAGATTCAGAACCACTCTTGAAACATGATATTTTGTACGCAGTGGATGTAAACAGGATCGTTAGGAATCTACCTTATTCGCGAAGATTTAAGTTTCCAACCCAAGCCCCCAGCAAGCCACAGCAAGTAGGGCTCTACAGCCAAGAAAAAACTGCTTGACTACGATGTAAATTGTCATCGATCCAAATCTACGTTGCTCTATTTCAACTGAGAGCCACTCGAAGTGCAAATACCAACCATGATTCCTTCTGACGAGGACCAATTCATTACAAGGTAGGAATCGAAAATGCTCCCTCAAGCCCAGACAAAGCCGATTTTGTCGTATTCGGATGAAGATATTGATTAAAGTCTCCGCAGTCTCCGTAATCTCCGCGATCATCATTTACATCTTGATACAGCCCTTGGGCCGTGCACTTCATGGGAACCAATCGATCAAGTATGTATGAATCACCCAAGGAGATATTATAGTAGTCTGGCATAGACATATTATCCAGCGGATTGAAATTATTGAACCCGTTGCTGGCCCGTTGTTGCCCGCAATGAAGTTCCAACGGATTGATCGCGCCTTGCATGGATGATGGCGCGGCCGATTGCGGAGCTTTGAGCATCTGGGGCTCGGGATTGATTCGAGTACCCAATAACGAGCCATACATTCGCAGCATGGGCGAGGTGTGTTGTCGATGGAGCGCATCACAAGAGAAACGCGAGCTGGCGATAGGTGACGGTTGACGCTGCGTGTCGGCGTTGGTGCGCGAGAGATCCTGCTGCAGGCCCTCATTTTCTGAAAATTGCTCGCCCTTGGTCTCATCAAGGACGCCGAGGCGCACGAGTAGGTCTTGGATGATTGGTTGGCCATTACATTGAGTCTCCAAGCGGCCGCTAGGACAGTCTTCGCCTTTCACGCTGCGCCGATAGAGTTCCTGGAGGCCGTGAACTAGCAAATTTTGTTGCTTTTCGAGCTTTTCAACGTATCTGAACAAAAAGAAAGTTCAGTATAATCAGTCCCGACCTTTTAACAGAGAACCACTAAGTGAGCTTACCTCTTGGGATACACTTTATCACACGCTTGCTTCCGCCTTCCAAAAACGCAGATGCCATTGTCAGCTCGACATCGCGAACAGGGGCTGAATCCATCGCACTGTCTGAAGTCAGCCCGTTGTGGGGCAATTGCTCTTCTCTGGTCTATTCACCTTAGATTTCTTGAGCCGACACCGATCGCACGCCTGGTATACTCTCTTGCGGACGTTGCTGTTGAGATATGAGTTCTCCGATGTGTGTGATGCACGACTCGCTGGCATGGTGGGGTTTGATGCGAGGAAGAAGTTATCGTGGGAGAAAAGTTATAGTGCAGCGAAGAACAAGCGGGCGGGATTTCACTCTCTTTTGCTACACGTTTTGGCCCTGTAGAGAAACATGATTGGTATCAACTAGCTATAATGACAAAATGACGAGAGAGCATCAAACATTCCTGATGAGAAGCAGGTTAAATGCAATTGGTTCGACGGCAGAAGTGGCCTTTTCTCCTCTAAATTAGCCGACATTTGACCATGACTTTTTCAAGTTTTGCCGTTCACAATTTCCTCACCTTGACGTAATAGCGCTTAGCTCAGCATTGCCATGCATTGATAGTTACTGTAGCAGACGCACTTTGACCTAGATGTGACGTCAGTGCTTGTAAAGAAGTTTGATGGTCCAGAATGTACTGCCGGCATTGGAATCAATTTAGATCACAAGATAGCCAAGAATAGGCACCGGCTACATAGCGACAGGTCAGCTACAGGGCCATTACCGCTTCCAACGTTTTTTGCCGAGCGTGTGAGTGGTGAGTTTGGCGGTAGACTTTGAAGCGAGTAATCCAGCTTTCGACTTGCCAAAGCACCGCTATCCATATGCCCCTCATCTTTAGAGGTAGTAGCCCGGGTTGATGAACGGGTTCGGCCTCGCTGAATTTCCCGTTCTTAGCACCAATTTACTGGACGTAAGTCTCGTACGTCAAGATGATGTGATTTGAATCGAGGTCCACTTTCGTCTGGTGGCCTTTGCGGAGCAAGCATTGATTTTATGTGGATAAGTAAGTAATGTAGTCAATGAAAATCAGGTGATTTGATCCTGGCCAGCCAGGTGGCAGTAGTCACCCAAATAACCAATAATGAAATGCAATCCCTCCTCAACGCAGGAGAATTAGACCTAGCAGATCGGTATGCGTCAATATGGTTCTTCGGTCAAGTCAAGAACCAACCACCCTGCTACCCAACCTGGGCATTTGGTGGCTCACCAACAATAAATGATTATACGACGATGCGCACAAGACGCCTGCAACAGCGCAGTGCGACTACCCCGGTGTCGGATGTAACTGCCAAAATTCGGGTGTTGCTACTGGAAATACTGGCCTTGCTTTCCCTGTTTAATATATGTACCAGCAGTGCAACGATCATGAAGTGCGCGTTGTGTAAAACCTCTTCTATGAGAAGTATGGGGCGCAATTTAGAGAGATTAATACCGGACATGACTATTAAGTCCAGATTTCAGCTTCCAGAAGGGTGAATGTCCAATTCTCACACGAAAAAGTGACTGGGAGCGTCTGGTGGCCATCCACTCGAAGGATAGCAATGATATGTGAAGCCAATCGCGTGCACTTCTCTCTGCGCACATTGGTTACAATAACCTTGCCTAGGTTGATACCCAGAATACATTGACAGCCGACGAAGCCAATGCAGAAGACGCGAAGGACCAGAACGGTGTGAAGAACAATGATCACCCGAAGGTGTATGTGTCGTGGCCTAAGCATGCCAACTTCGGCACGCGCAAGACAGAATGGAATAACCCCGCGAGTCAGTCGTTGGAGATTTTTAGCAGTCAGAAGTGGTGGTATTTCGTTGCTCCTCGCTCCTCAATACTATGTATGTGCCACCTCTAGGTTCATTGGATGATTATACTGATGACACAGATCCGAGCCGATGATAGTACGGACGCTGATAAAGCCATTGGACCTGTAGACTGGGAGAAAGCGAGTAGTAACCCTCCTTCTGCACAGCCTAGTGTCTGTGATGCTTTATAGAGATGTAGAGGCACGTAATTTGTTCAATCCATACACTGAAATGCAAACAAGGCTATCCGTTTTTGAACCATACATCAATACATCAACGCCTTCGTCTCATTCGTCTTGTTTCATTTCGCTTTCATGATCAGCTTTCCATGATCATCGAGTAGATGGCTTTCATTCTCCATGCCGCTCCATTGAGGGAGACTATCTGGTATGTCTAGCATGCGGTGTTCGTAGAAAATATGACATCTATCAAGGTTGTTAAAAGTTGTAGACAACACAATGGCAATATTAATACGTTGGTTTGAACGCTTCTCTTTTCTCTCTCTGCTCATCATCCGTTCCCTCAAGTACGATCAATTGAGGGAAGATGAGACAGACATTGCGCATTTCATCCATGATGGGCGTGCGACAATTGGAACAGTATACCTTGGCTGGCAGACCATATTCCTGAGATTTATGGGTAGAAGAATATAAGACCAATCCACCAGGGTCACTGGTAAACAGCATATCATGTTTATGGAAGATACAAGCCCATTGGAAGGGTGTACCATGGGTGATCTGACATCCACGGCAATGACAATATTTGGTGTTCAGAGGTTTACCTTGTTTAAGAAGGTAAATATTCTTTCCGCAGAAGCATTCGGCTCGCCAATTGGCGGGTCCATATTCCTCCTCGCTCTGATTGTGGTATGGAGAACGGTATTTCCATTGTTCGTCTTTGAGGGTGTTTTCTGGGGGTCTGTTGGTAAATGGTGGACGGTGAAGAGGGTCCTTTGTCGTTCCAATGCCCATTTCCGCCATGATTATTGCGTATTTTATGAGTAAATGAGAGAAAAAAAGAGGAGAAGACAGAAATCAGAGCTTTAATGTAGGGCGAAACAAGGATAGTAAGGATGCCAGATCAATGACATCAAAGTAGATCGTCCGCAAGGGATACAGTATTGACATCCCTGCTCGAATAGTGGCAAGTTGGGTCTTTGTTTTTCTTGAGTATTGTTCGAAGAAGTGTCTCGAACCGGTAATCTCTTTTATGTATCAAATGAAAAAATTGTAACGGAGTGAGTCCTGGACTTGCAGAGTCCTGCAGATGAGTCAGTTCACAACAAGCGTATTACTGTCGACCTTGCAGTGTACCTTGATCGCTTCTCTACCCCGCTCCAGGCCTTGTTAAATAGTCCGTCCTTGGGGACCGGAGAGTTTCCCAAGAATCAGTCGCTGTATCCTCTATAATATACATCTGTTCCTGAGACATCTTCGTCCTACCTAGTTGACAGGCTCTATCCTGCAAACACTAGAACCCCTTATATGTTAAGAAATGAAGTCAGTGACGTCATGTTCAAGTTTGACGTGGAGAGTATTTCCGTGTAGATGAACCTATCAAAAACACAGTTACAGTAACGTTTAACGTTAAAGGATGACAGTAGGTCGAACAAGACATGACATGTCTACTTTGTGTAGATCTCGAAATGGTGCGGTCCTGCGCGATTCTGTTGCGGTTCGAACCTCATAGAGCCGCGATTGCATAATTTTGCCAAGGTCTTCCTTTTTCGGATGGATAAATTGATTGCTCACCTCAATACTTCGTTGTCATTTAACACTGTTTTGGGCGATAGATGACTGAATGTTGAATGGAGCGACAATACTCACGAAGTTTGATGTACTTTACCTTCATATAGTCCAGCATTGAAAACTGTAGGTTTCCCTAAGTAGAGTAAGTTCAGGCTCTTGGTGGTTGATTCTGTTGAAATATGAGGCCATTTGCTGTATAAGGGATGCCTAAATGTACGAGGTTCATGCAACCAACCATCACCTGATAGGGCTATTGTGGAAATTTTCCCTGCACAAATATGGGAAATCGCCATCAGATCTTCATCTAATGTACTTTTACTAGTATAAATAGCAGTAAAGATATTCCTTCATGGGAGTAGACTTAAATACTCTCTTTCAATGCCAGGCACCTTTTACATGTCTATCAGCTTTACGTCGTAACTTAAATAGATTCTGGTCGGAGTGATCGTTACAGGACTGTGTGGAGTGAGAAATGTATATTTGATCTGGCAACTATACCATCACCTCGCATGTCATTTTTCAGTTTATCCCCGCGTTGGCAACTTAGAAGTTGCTTTGGGTAGTTTATACTCCATTTTTGTCAACTCTCGTATAGTACCCAACCGATTGGAGATATTGATGACTCTATATTGAATTACCCCTAGTTCACGCTATTTAACGTGACTCCTTGCCGAGCGGCCACCCCACTCCAAATTTCCCATCTCCTGAGCAACCTATGTTTTCAATCATCCACTATACCCCAAAACGCACCGAAAAAGCCCAAAAATTCATCAAACAAGAGGGCAGGATCTTATTAGCTATTTAAGCTATTCAAAATGGCCAAATTCCTTCGGTCGCAGCTGCTGCACGCTCTTTCGACGTCCCTCGTTCCCCCTTACGGGCCCGTCTGACCGACCGAACGAATCGGTCTGATGTTCGACCAAACGGCCAAAAATTTAACCAAAATGAGGAGGAATCAATTTAGTATTGGCTAATACTCTATGGATTCGGGAGGTGCAGCTCTTACGATCGAAATTTTACGAGATATGGCCAATTTATTACTTCAGCGCCGGGGTGATGATACCCCCCAGACTGTTGGTAAAAACTGGCCAACCCAATATCTTAAACGACATCCTGGGTTTACGAGCCGGTTTTCTCGCAAATATAGCTATCAGAGGGCCTTCATGGAAGATCCAAAGGTTATCATGGAGTGGTTCGATCTCTTTCAAAAATCTGTTATCAAGTATGGGGTATTATCGGATGATATTTACAACTTTGATGAATCAGGCTTTGCGATGGGGATTATTGCGACGACTAAAGTGATTACCCAATGATTTTATACCGGTCGAAGAGGGATTTTACAAGCTGGGAATCGTGAATGGGTTATTGTAATCGAGGCTATTAATGCATCTACATATGCGTTACCGCCGTACATTATTTCAAGGGGAAAAATTTCATGGAAAGATGATTCGACGACCTCCCTCACCAATGGGCTATAAAGCATAGCCCTAATGGATAGACGAATGATGAGATTCGTGTTGATTGGCTACAAAAACACTTTATACCGCATACTACAAGCCGTACGAAGGGAAAATATCGTCTTTTGGTTCTCGCCGGTCACAACAGTCACCTGACGGCTCAATTTGATAGGATTTGCGAGGAAAACTATATCATACCAATCTATATACCTGCATATGCATCTCATCTTTTACAGCCCCTTGATATAGGCTGTTTTGCGGTTTTGAAGAGGTCTTATAGAAGCCGGGTTGCAGAATATACCTGATTAGGCATCAATTCTATCGAAAAAGATGACTTTATCGATATATTCCCTATAGCTCGTACGGATGCTTTTAAAGACACTATTATTTATAGTACTTTTGCGGCTACCGGCTTAGTCCCATTTAAACCTGATCGAGTACTATCTAAGCTCAATATTCGTCTTCAATCCCTGCCCCTACTAGATCGGCCTAGTTCGCAAGGCTCAACGTCAAATAGCAATATCTCGACTGGTATACCTCAGAACACTAGGCAACTAGCAAAGCGCAAAGCTAGGATTGATGCTGTACTGAGTGATGGGTCAAATAAGATATCTAGTCCTACTAAGCGTGATCTTAAGCGGTATCATAATATGACCCTCAAGATCATTCATAAGCTTATTTTTCAGGATGAGGAAATCAAGCGATTACGGGCTGCAAATGCAAAACAGATATCCTATCAGGGTAATCTAACAAATTGTGTTGAAGTTACGATGTATAGAGGATAGATGTGCGAAAGATGCCTGGCATTGAACGCGGTTGTTCAAGTCTCTATCCGTCCAGGAAGTCACTTTATCGCTATTTATACTAGTAAAGGTACTTTTGAAGAGGACACGGTCGTTATTGCCCATGTTGTTGGCATAGGCAAATTCCCACTATAATTTTACCAGGTGATAGTTACATGAACCTCAGAAATTGATGCATTGCCCATACGGCAAATGGCCTCATATTTCAACAAAGTTGCGGATTATTTCTTGGCAGTGGACTGAGTATTCGGGCTTATTCAACACCATCCAAGCTGCTCCACAGCCTCACTAGTCATATCACTAAACTCGAGTCGATACCCTCTAGTCAAGATTTCAAAAGACACTAAAACTTTGTCATGCCGGAGATGGCTGATGATGATGATGTGATCTATTATAGTCTGGTGGAGCTTCCCTCTTGTCTTGTTAGGCGCTATGCAGACTTTCTCCGGCTTAGATACAGGCGGTGCTCTCCTTATGTGTGGGATCGCACTAATCACAATTCCGTACCGCTCCACCGGGGTAACGCGGGCCCTAAGGAAAAGTTTCAAAAACCTTAGGAAATTCAGTGCCACACTTAGCATAGAGTATGCGAAGGGAGAGGCATGAATGAGAACTATGCTCCATTACCCCCCTAAACTCTCCCATACACTGGGCGATATCTAAGCCTCCCCTCCTCCGACGTGGTCATCCTTACCCCCGGAAGGATAAGAATTTGGCGGCTATAGGATTCGAACCTACTACGCCTTGATATAGAGGTGGGCAGGACCCCAATCCGCCAGACCTCTCTTTGGCGCAAACCGACGGCCGACCACTTCGACCACCAGCCACCTCCGGAGATGGCTGATAACAGTGCGGAGACGCTCTTCTCCGTCCTCATACCTGTTGGAAAAGTCTTCGTACCCCTTCTTGTCCCCAAGCCTTTTTCTCCGAGCTATGTTCTCCAAAATTTGAGCGCTGATCCCAGAGACGTGTTCCATCGCATCTTGTCCAACTCGGATGATAACAATATCGTCCTGGCAACGAGTCACGTGATTACTTCTCTGCTTAATGCAGTCACAGTATGTTTGCGGGTAAGACTCAATGCCAAGGTCCTGAAGTTGTTCACAGTACATCAAAAGACAATCCCTCGTGAGATGATATTGGAATAATACAAATTCGGGCTTGCCGATATGCTCCAGATGGGTTAGATGATCATGAAGATCACGTATTGCACAAGCAACACAAGCCATGCATCTTTTTCTGGCCGCTGTTCCTAATTTTGCCGTGCTACTATTTCCTTCTTCAGAATGAAGACTTCAAGTATTGGTGCTTGCACATACCAGCGTATGAGGTTGAGGTAAGTTGCAAATGCATGGAATATAGCCAAAAGCGCTTTCTGGAGCTGGCACAGGTTGTAGCCGGACATTGCAATGTTTGCTAACCTTGAAGCATCGCCATGAGTTTCTGAAAGCTTCTCACCAAAGCCCTCACAAAGTTGCAAACAGAGCTCGGGGAACGGATAGAACATTGGAGAGGGTATGTTTCCGGACCCCAATAATGTATCCTGTAGTGACCTTAAACCATCCGCAAGCGTGCCGAGAACAGCCACATCAGTGGACCTGAAGCTGTCTATGGTATCTAGAATAGTTGCCGTCGAGTCAAAGAGTTGTTCTCGCGTACAAGGCTGAGGTTTAACATTCATTTTGTTGAGCTGACCAGAGGGCAAAGACATTTAGCTCAAGGGACGGCCGAGACATAAGTGGATCATACAGGCCAAAGGGTCAATTCTAGTATCAATACAAAGAACTTAAGCACCCAGCTGGTGCAGTCTATAATAAATAGTTCGAGGCTGTCTTGTGACGTTTTCTTGTAAGGAGCGAAAGTGAAATGACATCACGAAATTTCATCCGGGTTAATTGGCCCCACAGCCCGTTTGTCGATAGAAAAGGAAACGGCCAAAACAAATCGGTCAAAATTCGGTCTCCAAGAGCAAATATTATGTGGGGGAAAAAAAAACCAAAAAAGATCCTGTCGTATACAGTATGGTACATGTAACGTACAGCAAAGGACTCGGCCGGCCGGGGTGACAACGCCTTATTTGACAGCTTCTCCCAGAATGGGCCCCGCCACGCAGTGCTTTCCCATGAATTGGTGGACGTGTTGTCGGCCGAAAACATATCCCCAGCATAAGGAGCATTTTACGGCGGCCCTCAATTTAGCGCGGTCTGATCAATGAAGGCCTTGGCAGTGGGGCCCTAGGAAGAAAAGCAGTCGTCGAGGAAGGAGATTTCGCTAATACTAAAGTACCATATTCAGTGCCATTACATTAATTTCTGTAAGTGATTATCTTCTAAAAGACCAGTCCCATTTCTCCATCGTCTCCACCATCTGTAATAAATGCAAGTCCACATCCTGTTTGGGTCTACCAAAGCTCGCTTCCCGCGCTTATCATCCCCGACAGGTCCTCAGCAACCGTCTTATTACCGCGTTAAAAATGGTTCTGCATGGGAGACAGTGCAGTTGTTTAGTTCATGCTGCCCTCATGCAGTAGAGCGCGGCTTTGAAACCGTTGCGATGCTTTGGCAAAATCCATAGCCAAGACAACCTCCACCATCTGGGACCGCGAAGCACAAACAGTACAGTGGCAAGACAGCAAACCCAATCTCCCAAGTATACCTGTCACGGCTTTTCTATGCCCACTAACACCAGCATTCACGCGATCATCCAACCAGGGATTTGCCGTTGGAAGACTGCTACCGAACGTTCTCATCTTTGCTGGTGTCAACCCGAGGGTCGAGCTTATTGATGAGCTTAAGAGTCATGCAGCCCAGTGGTGTCGTCGCTTTCCTGGCCGGTGGCTGAATCAAGACCATTATCGTCTGGAGTTCTTCTGGAACTAGATCCACGAAGTTCTAGCAACCCAACTATAGGCGCTGCATTTATCGAAGGATAAAGGGCTGTCACACCTGTACTCGTCATTACGGTTGTATCAGCCTTATTATCTGGATCTAAATCTGCAGCATGAGGTTCATGATTGGAGGAGCTACCCCTTCCCGGCTGCTTGCTCGTCGTCGCATTCTCCGTCTGTCTCACAAAGGTAGACATATCGGTGATACTGTAGGAGTAGAAAAGTACGGAGTTGTGCTGGAAAATTTTCGGCGCAAAAGAATACTCAAAGGTGAGCTTGAAAGAAAAGGGGTATATAAATTGTGTATGATAGCCTGTGATATCATGCTGACGAACATCCGCCATTCCCCTCCCGTGTGGTGATATGGCAGATCCGGGGAGTAGTTGGTACAAGTCGTCGAGTGGTTTAGCATGGAAATTTCCGGTATCGCGCCAGAGCTTGTTGGCTGTGAGCGAAGACCTTGCTGATGTGATCCCGGAGGACTAACTGCCGTATTTCAATTTCACGAAAATCGTACGATTAATCAGTACTGGAAGCTTTACGTCATAATTACGTTGACTTCTACTCAAGTAGATTCTGGTGTAGACATAATTATTCTTGTACCACATGTTTCAATCTGTATACGGACTGACCAACATGCCACCTATTATCCATTTGACCAAGTTAGACCCGAGGGGACGAAGTGATGAGCACGACACTCATTCTATCAAAGAACGCCAAAATTCGGAAAAAGCTCGTCAAAATGGTACACATCCTGACGAGAAGAACAGTGCGTTCCTTCTACGAACATTTTGGAGGCTTTCGTGTACTAACGAGGTCTATAAAGAAGGGACTGCAAAGCCAATATCTGAGATTCAGGGAGGAATACATGGAAAGCAGAACATGCCAGAATACCCCAGAAACCATCACAATCAGCATTTATCCTTCGCCTGCAATAATGGGTTCTCACATTATACTGGTGAGAAGCATGAAGAGAAAAACAAAGTCAGTGAGGTTTTGAAACAAGACAAGCATCAATCCTACTATGTTGAAGTTACGATGTAAAACTGATAGATATGTGAAAGCTGTATGGCATAGAATGAGGTTGTTTAAGTCTACTCCCATCAAGGAAGTATCTTTACTGCTAATTATACTAGTAAAAGTACAATAGACGAGGGTCTAATGGGGATTTCCCATGTTTGTGCAGTGGGTAAATCTCCACAATAGCCCTATCAGGTGATGGTTGCATGAACCTCGTGAATTGAGGCATTGCCCGTACGGCAAATGGCCTCATATTTCAACATACTAACCATGGATGCGGTTTCAGATGATAAGTGACCCGCAATACTAAACGATCACCGTTGAGGAAACTAGATAAACATTAATGTATCAGACAATGATGTATTTATACACATTCGTTATTATCCGTATTCCTTTGCGAGGAGTTAGGATAAAAAAAATTCTACTATTTCTACTACTATTGCTATCGGTGCTGTAACATGGAAGAAATCGAACTGCATCTTAGAAATTGATAACATCGCAGAAAACTGGACGGGAGCGAACCGCAAAACCTGATCCACATGCGCATCATGATTGGATACTTCAACTTAACGGAATGGAACGCGTCTACAAGCAATCCTACGAGTAAGCCACTAAGTTGACACAAGCTTTCAAAGATTTTATTGGGACAAATAATATGGAATAGCATTAATACCGCCCGCCGCCTTGGTTCCCCTACTTACTTCATTCGGCGTCACAATATATCTCTTGATACAGTATCCCATTTTATACATGCACGTACACACAACTACATAAAATAGTATGTTGTTGAGATTCCTGCATGACTAGATGGTGTATGTTGAAGTTACGATGTAAAAAGGATAGATGTGCAAAAGATGCCTGGCATTGAATGAGGTTGTTTAAGTCTCTGTCCCTCCAAGAGGTCACTCTCTAGCTATTTATACTAGTAAAAGTACTTTTGAAGAGGACACGGTGGTTATTTCCCATGTTATTGGCATAGGCGAATTCCCACTATAATTCGATCAGGCGATGGTTGCATGAACCTCGGAAATTGATGCATTGCCCGTACGGCAAATGGCCTCATATTTCAACAGTGTATACCAGGTATATCAGGCATGAATCAGTCAGCGTGAATCCTCCCTCAAAAAGAGTATAGTCCAGGGGAAATCCTTCCATTTACATAGAGTTTCTTTTGTTGAGATATGAGACCATTTGGTGTACAAGCAATGCCTCAATTTACGAGGTTCATGCAACCATCACCTGATAGGGCTATTGTGGAGATTTACCCACTGCACAAACATGGGAAATCCCCATTAGACCCTCGTCTATTGTACTTTTACTAGTATAATTAGCAGTAAAGATACTTCCTTGATGGGAGTAGACTTAAACAACCTCATTCTATGCCATACAGCTTTCACACATCTACAAGTTTTACATCGTAACTTCAACACCCCGGAGTGATAGCATGGATGGCACGAGATACATCATAGCAGATACATTCGTAGGTGGCCTTCACAATTACTAGCTCTCACTGCGCAGAAATTTAGTGCTCCTACTCAGCCTAGCTAGATGGTGATGTTTTAAGAACCTTGAGCATTTCTGGCTAAATTGTGGATATGGTCGGGTATTGCCTAGTAACTCAAAACGGCTAGTCTCCCCATTACGATGCCTTAAGGGGGTGAAACTCCACGTTCATGTACTCATGAGGTTCTACATCTGTCAACTATAACTACAAGGTAATACCACTCGGGTTATCTGTTTCAATTCTAAACCTCTAAGTTAAAAACGTCATAGCCAGCTTATAGGTGTCGACCACTGTATCTACTTTTATATCGAGATTCGACATAAAAACAAAAAATCTGTCCGTGCTGACAGTACGAACAGTTTAGGATGGTTCTATCGCATTGGGCGTTGCTCTCTCGGCAAAATTTGCAAGGTATAGTGCTCAAGCGGAGAGCGATGGTCTCCCGGTTCGACGGCTTATTTCTATCGATCGCCGATCGATCTTCATGGTTAAGATGGCTGTTGTTTGCACCGAAGAACCAGTTTCTCACTGAAGCAAACACGGTTGGTGAAGGCCTGATATGTATGCCTTGCTGCGGAGAATCTGGCGGGGTCCGGGAGACTGTCTCACATTAATTTGGCTGATTGAAACATGTACGAACTGATCTGCACGGAAAACCGGATTTTATATACCGTGAGCGATATCTATAATATGGTGACAAAGTACCTAACCAATGGCAGCTGGCACGGATCCGCGTGCCAAGCGAAAGGATTTAGGGTGAACATTTTCCAAACGTAGTGGAGCCTCCCCACACAGACTTTTATTCCTTTTGAGAAACGGCAATGCAGCATGTACATTGCAATTTATTCCTCGCTGGATTTGGTCGGGATTGTGCTTCATGGCCTGCTACCTGTAAAACTGCAGGCGGTGCTTTGCCGTTTTCGACGATAAAGTCGGGTGAGTCTCGGTTCGTGGCTGATGTGTGCGAATTTGGTTGTGTAGATGGTTCAGATTAGTCTATGCATGTTGTCTGGTATATCGTTGATCCCTTTCAGGAAACATGTCATCACCACGCTCTTCCACGCAAAATTCTAACTTTCATGATATAAAGAACTCAAATTAACTGGCTTGGTAGCTGAGTTCAATCTGACCATACCATGTACCGCTGGTTATGATTAAGACCTCGGACTACTCTCTTTCCGTTTGACCGACGGGCTAGATTCTGTTGAATAGTCTGGGCGCTGTCCATCAATCCTAAATGCTCTGATTGTGTATTGGTGGTATCCCGTGCGAGCCGCCCTTGGCAAATGTCTCCAGTGCAAGTATCGGGCGGTTCTTGATCTCCGCCTGTTGACGTGTGATCTGCGATGACTACAAGGTCCCGGCGGTCCACAATGGCGACGCTCTGCATCAGATTATGAAAATTTGAGTCTGCTGGGCTTTTGAGCTACTATGATCCAAATCCGGATTCTGGTTGTTCAGGCCCTGAACCTTGAACATAACTTGTAGACCGCGGGTCCGTGATTCATGTGAGAGCTATGAATCAATGCCTCATTCAACCCTCTTACTTCCCCGCTGCTTTCAACGCTGTTGAGCTCCTAATCTATGATTTTTCGACCACCTGAATTGCATTCATTTTTTTGGAGGACACGTCGCATGATGACTACACTGCTTCAGCCCTCACTCAACATCAATTCTTTGGAAACAGACACGCAATGTGTGAATCCGGCAGCTACAGTGTGGTTGAAATATTCACCCAGTATCTGCGATAAAGGTGACTTTCTCTCCGATGCCTTGGAAACCAAACAAGGTAGCAAAACGAGAGCCGATCATCCATTCGATCAAACATCGAGCCCACCTGTGGGACACAAAAAGAAGCGACGTGGCTCAAAAATCAAGCACCCTCAAGAAGCTGTCAGCCTAGAGAGAGCCCGGTATCTCGAACGGAATCGGGTCGCGGCAAACAGATGCCGCCTAAAGAAAAAACAAGAGAGCGAGGAAATCCAGCATATCCTACACCAAGAGACGATCAAACGGGACAAACTCCTAGCTAAGGTAAAAAAACTGAAAGAAGAAGTCTGGGTGCTCAAAAACGGGGTCCTTGCGCACGCAGAATGAGGGGATCACCGGATCAACCTACAACTCACAAAAATGACGCAAAATATCTTCAAATCGGGGTTTTTTGCAGTTTCCTACTTTGGAAAGGCCCGAGACGATGAAGCACCGACCTGTCTACAGCCTCGCTAGCGTCTGTTGACCATGACACTGTGACTAGCAACGAAAGCTTTGATTGTTATATTAATCTAGCGAACATGTAATGTGGCTCTCGTTTAATAGTATAATTAGGAGTATATATCCATTCACTTTATGACGCACTAAATAGGATAGTAGTCATTTACAAAGTTCCCTAGCTTGATTGATGCAAAAATGGCCCGTGTCTACATCCTTGAATCTTTGCTGACTTAGGCTACCGAGACACGCGTTCTGTCAACCTGAAAATCGAGAGATCAAGTACCTACTTATCGCTCAACCTCTTGCCGCTGTCAAAGGGACGCATAGAGGGGACGTGGGGTCTCGACTAGTTCGGATGTATCAACCACCAATAATGTAAGGTGATCTGCGGAGTGGGGCGCAATGAATACCCGCAGGTATTCCGGGTTCTCGCAGTGGAATACGTCATTGGCTTTGAGACTGTGCGGTGCGGTACTCTTCGCTGACTGTGATGGTTGAATCACAGACGTTTGCCACATCTTGACTGAGCAATCATGTTGTTCGTAGCCAACGGAGTCCTTTCCTGCCGCTTTAATATATGTTAGTGTATAGCACCATGGTGGTAAAAGTAACCATATCACTCTGACAGACCCTTTCAAACCACTTTTAGAATACTGTAGTGTGAAGTCAACTGTCTTTGAGCATGTTAGATTTCGATCGCTTCCCGTATGCAACGGGTCCATCGCTGACCCAATTTACGCGTAAGGACATCATGGGCTCGATATAAAAAAACCAAACAGAGGTCAGCCCCATCACGCTTGCCAGCAGATGAATGCGGAACTGTAATTTACGTATGACGAGTTGGAATCCGTTAGAATGGGGGATATCTGGTCTCGTCTGGTATGCTGTCAGCTCCTATTGCTACATACAACATACAATGTCTGAATACCCCTTCGACCCTGAATAATAGATGACATCATGAAAGCAAACAATTGGCAATAAGTCAGATAGTCCTTCAAGATCTTCAGTTGCTAGCCAACCATCTACTGATGTCATGTTGAGAGGGCATTTGGAGAATCGAGCCACAGTGGATCGACTAGTGGAAATGAGCCGTCGCCGTTGATAACGCAATGCAAGGCAGGGCGATACACACCATGCTATCGTTGGTGGGTGAGACAACCGACGTTCTCGAAAGATAAAGTTGCAAGTATCTGCATAGGTGGTTCGCCTTTGAGCTCAGAAAATACCCCACTGTATCTCCTTCGCAACATTATCAATTTCCTTCAATCGTTGACCTTATAAACTTTTTCTCGATGTTTGACAACAGGTGACATAATCCGCTGTTATCTGTGGACCATGAATCTGTATGCTAATTGGGCTGCGATGTAGACGGAACTCTCAGAAGCCTGACGACGGTCTGATTAATAAGTTCCGGGCAACTTTTCCTGATGTCGTCCGGTCTACCAAATACGATACCTCTAGGTATGTCTCACGCTTTACCGTGACGTCCGTGACGCTCGCGACGTCCATGCTCCTCATCATACCACGCTGCTGGGCTTGATCCATAGGTCTCAGCTGATATAGCGTCTCACAGACTAGCGACTAAATATGACCTGAACTATCTGTCTACCCTGGACAGCTCTGGTCTTCGCTTCACGCCGTTGTTCGGCGACCAATCTGGTCTCCGATTCACGCCATTTCTTGATTATCATACAATTCCTGCCCCAGATCCACATAACCCTCGTCAGTATCACGATACTGGCAGTCTGAACACAGTCTTCCATGAGCCGGCCGGGGACTTGCATACACCACAACCGGAGCCAAACTTGATGACACCAAGAACGCTTCTTGAGCAATTCGCCGTCACTCCTCTACATAGAAATAATATCGACCCATTCCAGGATAATTCGAAAATGCAATACTCTGCACACGAGCCCCAAACTATAGCTCCCAGCATTCTGAACGTTTCATGTCAACCTACCGCATTCGTTCACTCCCACTTAGCTGATGATGCTGTCAACGGGTCAAGCAAAGCAGTCTTTCTGGCTGACGACGCCAATCCTCAGAACTTGAGCCCCCACCAGCTTCTTACCTCCCAAGACAGCGACTCACCAGAAAGGGAATACCGAAGCCACGGCGATAACCAGTAAGACCTTTCTGTTTCGCAGTAGGGCCCCGAGCTAACGAGTTTCTAGGTTTCGGTATCAAGTGACACTGAATACACCGACAGCCATGATGAAAGATCCAAGACACCCACCTACAACTTATCTCAACAAAGCTCAAACGTACTCTCTATCAATTGTTGATACGGCGCAGCCGGTGACGAACGAAGCTGCTTTGTATCGTACCTGGATCCGCGTTACATTCGAGGATGATGAACAGGCTTCAAATCCTGCCGCTGCCTGGGCTCTGTGGAGAAACGCTCGGAGACATGAGGCTTATCGGAAAGAGAGAAACATAAATGCTATTGAGTTTGTTGATTTATCCCAAGAGAATGAAGGCCAAACGTGTCACATCCAGCTAGAAAGAATCTCTCTAGACGGATTTTGTGTCACCTGGCTCTCAGACCCGACTACGGGGAACCAACACTGCTCAATGGGGGTCCGCTTTCACTTTTTATCAACCGATTTTAGCCACGCAAAAGGAGTGAAAGGAGCTCCTATTAAGCTTTGTGCTAAAACTGAAAGTCTTACCTCAACTAGGGGCGAGATAAGTTATTGCAAAGTGAAACTTTTCCGCGAACACGGGGCTGAACGGAAAATGTTCAATGACGTTTCTCAGCTGAAGCGAGCCATTGAGAGATGCAGGCAAGATCTCATCAAAGCCGAAAATGGATGTGAGAATCTCGGAAAGCGAAAACGGGGAAGACACACAGTCATTTACAAGAGGAACAAAAAGCTTGAAGACGAGCGGAAGAATGAGCTGCAAAGAAACCTGAACAATGAATTGGCCGTCATGCAAAAACTAGTCCATTCGAATCGACCTGTTACCTACTTCTGTCTTCGCGGTAGTTTGAAAGATGACCCTGGTTTGTTCCCGGTTACCATGGAAGATGACGAGACGCGAAGGATTGACCGAGTGGACCACTCGACGCTGCAACCCTTGACTCCACCCTCAAAATTAGGCAGTGTGTCGAGTAACTTCTCCGTTAGTTCCACGGAACACTGCTCACCTAGTCTGCGCCAATACCGAGACAAGTCAAAGTTGGATCAGTCCCCACAAGCCTTGTGGGCAACTATGAATACGAAGGCCAAAGCACCAGGTAAGCTTGTCTTCCTAACTCGGATAAATTTTGAGCCTGGCTTATCATCCATAAGCAGTTGCATGTTTCTACCTCTGCTTTCAGAAACAGAGCGCACATCGAGATAATTACTACACAGCGGTGTATTTAACAGAGCGTACTGCGAAGGAACTACAGGTGAAAATCTCCCACAAGAAACGCTTTAACCAGGTTCATAGATTACACCTATTCCAATTCCAAAATGGGATGAAAACCACTATAGATGATGATTTTGTTCAGCGGATCCCAGATGGACAGGATATGATTGCTGAAATATCAGATATCCCGACCACCATGGTTACCGGTGGCTCAACCGTTGAGGTTAGTTTACATGTATAGAGTCTTTAATTACAAGCTCACGGCTTTCGTCCTTATATCCATTTACCTCTCTCAATTAGCGGGTAGGCTTGTTTCACCATTCACAGTGACTCGGAAAGACATAAACCGGTTTACATTCGGTAATTCTCTTTCAATTGCAACGGTCTCGTAGTATTTCCATGTTGTAAAAGCAGCTCATGGGCAATCAAGACTATGTAATCATTTAACTTGTCCTTCACATTTCTAGCCGACCTACGAGATTCAGTTCAAAGGGTGGTTCCAGCCATAAAGATCGTCAGTCGACCGTGAGATGTTTCCAGTGCCTGCTCAGAGAAGCGCAGCCGAGATAGCTGCTTGTCGTAGCGTAGCTGAAGTCCATCCCTCTCTTTAATCAGGTATCTACTAGCCTCTTTCAAGATACGATTAGTCTGATCTAGCTTCTGGCCATCGATATGTTTGAATACGCACGACTCTCATAGGCGTCAATAGAGTTCGCCAAGTTAGCCTGCGTGAAAGGCGAACTTAGGATCGTCGCGTTCGAGGTCTGCTAGCACCTGCAAGATGGGTTGAAAGGGCTCGGTCGCCAAGTTATGTGTTTTTCTGCTGCCTGCTGCGAAAGAGAGAGCTGCGATGGTTAGCAAGAGCATTGGAAGCTGACTAATTTCACTTAACAATAGAGAGCCATGACCAGGAGCTTCCCGTGAATTGTCTTTTCACAAAGGATTGGCAATTCACTCGGCTACTGTTTCCCTTCTTTCGCCTAGTCTGAATTGCTGTTAGGGACATCCATTTTGTCCATAAGAAAAAGTCGAGGGTCTAGGTAATGCAACCTCCATCAACCCTCGGATACTTTGATAGACTACCTCTACTGACATTGCTGGTTATTTACGCACTCTTAATATTACAGCGAACTCAATCAACGCGGTTTCGAACAGGATATAAAGGCTTTCAGTGCTCTGTTAGCAACGCATTCAATGATGGTGATGGTGACCAATCTCGCGGTGTTGATGGTTGGGTGTGCGTCATATCCAGCGGCTAGCTCATTTGTGATGTAAGATCCGGGAGATAATGTTATACATTTGATCATAACACTTGTTCATACTCGTTGAAAGCCTCAGAAATTTACAGTACTGTAAAAGGAAATTCAAAGAGCAAGGTATCTATCTGAACGATGGTCACGTGTTCAAAAGTTGACTCAAGTCCACTTGAAGGCCAAGCCTAGCTTCAACGGGTTGACGTGTCGAGTACCCGCGACGGCGGCCTGACGCTTTCCGCAGCCTAGACGGACAGAACCACACACAGCTCAGGCAATCAACACTCGAGTGAGGCTAGAACAGTATTGTGACGCTTGGATGAAAATGTGAGCCGTCTTCGTAAAACCAAAGAATGAACAGTCTCCATTGCCTCAATATTAAGACTGTAGATTCGATAGTGAGCCAACGTTTCTTGACCGACTCACTTTGACCCATTCACAACACGACTCTAGCTCCCTTTTCTCGCTGGGCATCTAGAATGACACTAGACTTTCACTGCAAATAGTTGCGGTAAGACGAGGCATGGGTTGCAACAGGTCTCACTTAGGATAGGCATCGTGTCCAACGTTTGCTCCTTAGCAGAGCACATATGCGACAGGAGCCGAGATACCTATAAATACGTCCTCTCCCCCCAAGAGTATGTTCTAGGATACTGTCACTTGCTGCGCAAAGTCCAGCTAGCTTTCGATTTGAGGCAATTGATAAGCTCTTTCCTTAAACCTACTGGAATTCCACCGTACTGACATCTATAGTTATAAAGTTACATCAAGAATCCCACAAGATCCGCTGCGAACAAGGCAAACTTCAAACAGATACGTGTCTAGAATGATCTGGCAATCTGTCTTCTTTCTTCATGTACCATTTCAATGGCTGTACTATGTAAACTATGTGAGGATTACTGAGCGCCTTCGTTCATATGAGGACAGGGCGGATTCTTGACTGACAAAATACCAGGCCTGCCGTGCATATTCTATAACCGCCTGTTCCTTGTCATCTCAGCCCCCTTTGAGAATTGCGTCGTTAGTAACATCCCCTGTATATTTTCAAAGAGCCCTAAATCGGCTGATTTTCTTCCACCAATACGTTCAAGTCTCTAGCAAACACCGTCTTTAAACCTCTACTAGCCCTTCCCATTCACTTCCTCATCTCCCAATCACGAAAACAAAGCACCATTTCGGGTGGCGCAGGCTTCTATTAGCCGAAGTTCGGTAGCAAGGGAGTAAATGGAGAAAAGTAGCACGAATTGTGCAATCACAGCAGTTTTGTTTCCGACCGGGGGATAGCTCAGCCAACAACAACATAGACCAAATGTAAGTTCTGTCACGCTCTACGGAGAAATAGACAGGATCTTTCTTCACACGTGATTATGTTAGCCAGAGACGCGTTTCGTCAAGCTACTGCAAAATGTCACGCTGAGGACTCAGTATCTAGAACTCATCGTCGCCAAAGCCAAATATCGAACCGTGCCGGGAAAGAATACTACTACATATGTGCCAGGCTTTTTGCGAAGCATTGTCTACCTCCGACCGGTCTTTGAGTAATCGAAGGGAGATTCTGAGCTTCTTCGTAAGCGCGGCAGCTTCACTAGTACCAGGCTGAGTGCGAGTTAGGAGCTCAACCAATAGCACGGCAGTGGAACGCATGATATGATGCAAGGTAAAGCACCATAGTCCGATATTGTTCAACCGCACTGCGCCAACGTCTTCTGGCAAAAGATTAATGACGTGACCCGCTGCCTGAACACATTCTGTTGCCAGTCGCTTGCATAAATCACTCAGATGCAATCTTGAGGGTGGCCATTCAGCGAGACGGCAAAGGCACGGTTGTAAGATGACAAGTTTGGTCGTGTAAAATTGGAAAGCAAGGCCAGTGCGCTGGTCGACGAATGAGTCGTTCGTTTTAGACGTAGTAAAATCGAGCTCGACAGGAACTCGAGACAGCCAATTATCTGCGCTTGTGTTCAGAGAGGAAATTATAAGTTCCATCTCAAGCCAAGGCCTATGCATCGTCCCCGGAGCATATAAAGTGCCAACCACTCCCCTCAGCAGAAGAGATAAATCCACGGCATAAGGGAAAGATGCCGAGACTTTGAGTGTCAGCGGCTCGGACAATGTTTGCGAATATTCTGCACTCAGCATACTGTCTTTCAATATAGGCTGTGGTAAATGAGAACAGAGAAGAGCATTTTTAAGTGAAACAGTTGGGCTGTTGAAGAACAAAGCGAACGAGGGTGAACTGTAAAGATTTTGGTCCTCAGCAATTGGGAGAACACGCGTATCCCAAACACCATCATCACCGTTTGGCATAGGAAGAGTGGTCGTACAGCAAACATCACTTATGCCAGGTGAGCGACCAGTCATAGAACACAGCGTGCTATCAAGTATTAAGAGCGCCCACTACACTCTATTACCGTGTTCTTTATATGCATGAGAGTTGCTTTCGCTTTCGGTCTTCAAGTTTAAACCCAAAGCAATTGCTGACCGTATGGCGCAACCAATGTATCTCCAAGCCCTAGAGTGTGAAAAAAAGAGTCAGTAGGAGGCATGTGACTCAATACAACTGGAGAGAACTCACCGACTAACCTGGCCAACGCAAAGCAGATAGAGCGAAACTAATCCCTCGATTTGAACTTGTTGTAAATCTATATGGTCTGCGAGCATAGCATTTTGTACGCCTAGCTTCCACGCACGCGAAAAAAACTCATGATGCTCGCCTTCGATTTCTGAATGCTGACCTGTAAGCATTGTATGCCTCGTCGCAATGGCAAACACCAGATTCAGCATTGCCACCCATCTCTGTTCCACCTTTGAGCTCGTTGTAGAGTATATTGTCCGGTATTGACTTGAAAACTGTTGTTTCTCAAGAAGCGGAAACATACCACCAACCGCGCGGAAGAAACAACCAACAAGCCTATCCGCAACTTGTCGTGTTGGCAATTGTGCGACATTCACATCACAACAAAGCAAAACATCTGATTCATCCTGAAGATAGTTAAATGGTGATATTGCGAAAATTCGAGGTAGTTCTCTCGATACGCTAGCAGTATCTTGATCAAGGTTGCATTTAAGTCTGTATAACCAGAAAACTTCTGAGTGTTCTCCGATAGTTGATTGGTCTGTCACATCGAATATAGCACCATGACGGTTGTTTTCTGTCGTTGACACCGCAAGAGTGTCGTTATTGCAGGGCAAAAAGCGACCAGAGAGCTGAAGGCCATTATTTGGAAGCTGAGTGTCGAAAATGGCAACATCATACTCGGTGTGCGTGTGGTTCCTGCGTAGTTGGTGAAGCGTTTGGTCGACATGCTGGGCCAATGCGATGCCTAGTGTGGGGTAGAGGTCGCTCAGCAAGCTTTCGAGTGTTTCGACGTGGTTCTTCAACTCATTGAGTTGTCTAAATTTCAATCAATGGCGCGTCAATTTGCCGTAGGGTAGTACTGACCTAATAGATTTTTCTCTCTTGTGTTCACCATAGGAACACGGAACGCCCGTATTTTGACAACGATGGCAAGCTGGATGACCCCCGCTACATTTGACCTTATGCAGGCGGCAGTTTCCACACGCTCGACTGACCCGATGGAGACCAGTATGAAAGTCGGATTGTGCTGCTCGGGGAATCGGAACCTTCGCTCTGAAAGGATGGTGCTGATTGCATACCGATCGGTCGGGGTTGACCTGAAGTGAAGTTGTGCTAATTGAAGAGCTTGAGGGCAAAGGGCAGGCTGGATTTAGAACGGGCCCGTCGTAATTAGATGCTTCCAATGTGTCAAATGCAGGCTCTGATCGATGTGCTGAATGGGACAGGAAATGTGAGCTCTCACTCATAGTGCGAGAATACTGGTGGTTCGGATGAACAAGGTGGGACGCTAGCCAATAAAGCAGCTATAATCGGGGTTGTAGAGACGAGACGGTAACTGTGAGAAATGTGTCTTCGAATATTTTATACTTTCAGAAATTAACCAAGCAAACAGTACCGCGCAGGTAGCCCTCTTACTCGGTGTTTCGCTTGCATGTATGGAAGGGGTGCTGCGAATGGCGGACGAATCTGCCGTGGAGTTTTGCCACCTCCGCTGCGGTTTTTAAGCGTACTGTCTGCGATCTTGATATCGCATGTAACAGTCGAGCATCTTCGTATTCTCGAACTGCCAGAAATCCACCAGTCCTGCGAATTCCTCGGATTGATGAATTGGAGGCATACAACTACTGATATGTGAACGGTTTATTCAAGACGGCTGAAAATGCCACAAAGTTCGCCGAATACTTTCCATGAGCCCAAGGCATTTGAAAGGAGCATCGTTTGGACCAGCAAGATGCCAGCAAGGTGAAATGAGATTAGAACCGGAGTTTCCAGCGACGAATTGTTTGCTGATAGGGGACTGGTCGGCAGGTTCCTCGGCAGGTTCCCACGTTTCGCCTTTTCCGGCCGCGAAAAGTCTCGAGGCAACTCCAGTAAGTTATGGCACTCTTCCCGTGCGCTGGTGTCCCCTCCTCCATCCGTTCCTACCCTGCCCATCTGTACTGGCTAAGGCTGACAGACTCAAACACAGCAGAAATTTATCAGGTTTTTTCCTGTCCGATGCCATGAATGGCTCGCAGGGTTTTTTGTCCGAAAGCTGGGGTGTACTTCTGAGCGGTCCATCACGCCCCTATCGGCCGCTTTCGCGGCCTTGAATAGCGAGGTCATATGCTTACTTTTCAGATGATGCTCACAATGGCGCATCCCCTTGTGACATTTCGCTAACTTGTCATCATCGTCCCTCCGTCCAACCACATCCCTTTCGAGCCGGCGAATCGACGAAACGCCGTATACTTTCCAGGAAATGGGATAACGCGACACGAACGGCGAAGAGATTGCGTTGGAATTGAGTCTCTTTAGAGGTCCCATGGTGTGGAAAAACACACGGTTACACAATGCTGGAGAGTGGCGATCTTCTCTTCAGCTATTGTGTTGAGTACTCGTTCTCACCGATTCAAGTTAGTGAACATCGCTCAGCAACGTGAGACTGTCCATATCCGAAAGAGCCAATCATCACAAAGCAGCTGGACGCAACAGGCGATGCGCCGTTGACAGTGTAAGATACGGAGCTGGTCGACTTGGCCTACTTGAGTCTGTTGGCGCAATGTATGAACGCTTTCATTGTCATAAAATGGGAGTATTATCGACCAAGCTGACACGCCATCGTTCCGAATTAGCTTTGAAAGCCTCGATGCACCATTGCTCGAGTAGAGAAGCCATGTTTGCATAGAGAATGCCGTTGATCCAATGATGTCCGCTGGAAAAGACGTCTTTGGGTATATCAAGTAGGGATCATATTGCCTCCCGGACTATGTTGCCTCCTAGACGACAAAAACGAAGTGGTGTTTGGACTTGCAATTGAGCGAATCAGACAAGCTGTTACGAAAGAGCGGATAGTTTAAGCAGCACGTTATTTTGCTAACCTGTTTCATGTCTGTGATGCTGGATACAGACCATACCCGAATAGATGACCCGCAGATTCGGTCGATGTATGGCTCTTCGGTCCATAGAAAGTGCGGAATGGACTTGAACTTGTGCTGCTATTCTGCGCATCGGTCATAACACGTTCGTTTCGAGCAATGATTTTCTGCGAGAGCAACAACAACAAACGCGAAGAAACGTTTTAGCCGCCTATGTCGGGTAAACTGTATGGAAAAGTCACAGAGAAGAGGTTGGCGAACTGATTCCGCTGCTAGAGATCCAAATCAACCTGGCCCCATATCGCAATGCTCCTTGCTGGAAGGGGGTGTTACAAGATCTGTACGGTCAGATGCTGAGGCTGTCTAGCAAAAGCGAGAAGCTTCAGATATTGCAAGAATGCGTGACGGATCAGGTGATGTTCTGGCTGCCATTTGGCAGGGTTGTGTGACGCAAGGATGCGAAAGAAGCGGGAAGAGAGCTACCATAGCGCCACTTGCTTCTTGAACAGTCTAGTGTCGATACGGATTATGGATGAGCGTTCGCGGTTGGGGAGGGTATCACTGTGGCGACCGAACGAACAACCATGGCTTATGGATGTTAGTCATCTCATCAACATCTCGCAACAAGTTATTTCCAGAAAGGTTAGCCGTACTGTTTTGTGAAGCGGTATAGTACAGGAATGTACCTTGTGCAGAGAGAGCTGAAGCACTGGTCACTGTTTGGGACAAAACTTTCCTATCATGGCAGGAGTTGCAGCAAAAGCTCAAAGTTCGCCCCATGCCCCGGCCAGAAGCACAACTGAGACATGGGAATGGCTAGTTTGGCCGTTAAGCCAGTGAGAGTTTTGATACTGCTGTATGGCATGAAAGTGTCTCGGTTTTGGTATATGGCAGGAAGTCGAGAGCGTGGGCGTTGCCGGCGTGTAGGAAATGATTTCCACTCAATCATGACGTCCGTTACGCCTGGGAGCTATGATGATTGCACATCATACACAGGCCATACACAGGATGCTTGAAAGCCATTATCGCTCACTTTAACCCCTGCCTCGTGCCTGCCCAGGTCAGCAATTACCTCGATGGGTCGTGAATGGGGGGCGGGAAGGATGTCCAGCGCTTTTTTGTGGGCTCCCGAGAGTACATAATCTGCATTCACTTTTGCTGACTACTGGATCGCCCCTGGACTATCACAAGCCACCATTTCACCACCTTTCGCCCGTTTTGTGCGACCGTTTGACCCCTCTTTCTCTGCCTTATCCTTCTTTCGTCGGACTCTTCTTGTACGTTTCCAGCTACTTGGCAATCGATTGAATCTTGCCCACCACCGAGACCCAAACCATCGCACTTGAGCCAGTTCGAAAACGAGAGGAGCATTGCTGCTCCGGGTGTTGACCATGAATGAAAGTAGTAGGAAGGTCCCTATTGGCCGTTTACCAAACGAAAAAAAGCTACAAGATCGAGGAATACGTACTATCCGGGCTTGTGACGGCTGTCGACATCGCAAATGGAAATGTGATGGCAAGAAGCCAAAATGCACTCGATGTCAATCTCTGGACCAAGCAGCCTGCATATATTCTGAGTCAAAACGTATCGCAGAGCGTAAGCAACTGGATGCGTCCTTGGTCAAAATCGAAGTCTACGAGGAATTGCTCAGGGACATCTTACGTGATGTCGATGAGCCCATTGGAAATCGTATTATTCGCGTCTTGAAGGTATATTGCATCGGCCCATATTTTCAACACGTTATGTACTGACATGTTATAGGGCTCTCTTCCAGAACCGACCACAAAGACGCGTCCGGATAGCCCCTCTAGTGATTCCTGCTCGTCTGTGGGATCACTGCACGATATTGACAGCGTCAACGAAGACCTCAACCGGAGCGAAGCAAGTAGGGCAACAGGCTACATTGGGAAAAACTCGGAAGTCGCGTGGATGCAACGGCTTGTATCAGAGGCCACGAAACAAGGTTCTGCTTTCAAAGATCAACAAATCTATCGACATGACCAAGGCGCCGTCGATGACTCTATTTCTTCAGCAAATTATCATCTCGACCATGACCGTCTTGTTGAGCTGGACGTGAAGAATGCTTTCTCGTTACCACCGAAAGCGCTGGCTGACCACCTGCTTCATACATACCTCAATCGTGTTCATCCCTCCTTGCCAATTATTCGAAAAAATCTATTCCTAGAACAGTATAATCGCGTTTTCTCCAGGCACCTGCTGCGGCCTGGAAGAAAGTGGTTGGCTGTTTTAAACATGATATTTGCGATTGGCAGTCAAATCAGCAGGCTTTCTGAGCGAGTGGCCCAGAATGACGATAACGAGAAGTTATTTTTTGCCCGAGCAAAAGCCCTGAATATTTCCGAAAATGTGCTTTTTGACCATGCAGATCTGCAGCAAATTCAGGCGGAAGCTCTTATGGCTTTTTACCTCCTGAATTTGTCGCAAATCAACAGGTACGGCTTTAACGCTAATGAACGATGTTAACTAATTTTGTAGGTCGTGGAAAATGGTTGGAATCGCCATACGCTCGGCTATTGCCCTTGGTCTTAACCTCCGAATCAAGGACAAGGGAATTGGTTTGCAAGCAAATGAGGCCCGCAAAAGGCTATGGTGGTCGATATACTACTTGGAACACGTTCTTTCCGCTATGACGGGCCGAGTCTCCTATCTTGGAGATGGATGCTGTACCGTTGGTCCACCGGTTCCCTTGATAAACCTTGATGGCCAATTGCCTGATCCTTGTCACCCCGAATATGACTCGCCGGCCCAACATTACGACATAAGCTGGTCTATTTCTCTGAAGAACGAGCAGTTACGACTTCAACAGAAGTGGTTGAGACCTGTAGAACCCAACGAGTCGACCTATTTCTTTTATCTAATGGATCTCACTTTCATGACGCAGACTTTCACCAATCAAGTGTATAGCACCAACGTCCTCCAAAAAGGATCCGCTCACATTGAAAGCCGCATTATCTATTATAGCGAAAAGATGGACCAATGGGTGTCTGGCTTGCACCCTTTTTTTGCCTTTGAGGATAAGCTTGATCCACCATCGGGGACGAGATCACAGAGCCAAGTTTCACTGGCTCTTCACTATTACAGTGCCCGTATCCTCCTTAATCGTCCATGTTTCGCTCGCCCAAAATTTGACCAGAAGAGTGGAACCAGGGTTGAGCGCTCACATTTCCAAGTTTCACTGGCTCTTCACTATTACAGTGCCCGTATCCTCCTTAATCGTCCATGTTTCGCTCGCCCAAAATTTGACCAGAAGAGTGGAACCAGGGTTGAGCGCTCACATTTCACCAACGACACCGCGTTGGTCTGCCTCCGTGCGTCCCTAGCGCTATTACGCGTATTGCCACGCCAGCCAGATATAGGCTGGGCCCATAATGTCACGCCACGGTGGTGGCTACTTCATTTCCTCGTGCAATCTACTACGGTCTTACTCTTGCAGCTGTCAACTGGCCCGGTTTCTGTTCAGGCATCGAATGATGCCACAGCTAAGATTAGTGCCGGTTCCCCCGGGACAACTGAATCGCCTGATGTCGTCTTGGCTTCGGTGAAAAAAGCACTTTCCTGGCTATACTGCCTTGGCATGACTGATGAGTCCGCTCGTCGGGCCTTTGAGCTTTGCAGTACCTCTCTTCAGCGCATAGCCCTTGACATTGACAAAGACCTTGATCTCTCCGGTGTACCTGTTACTACTGCTCAATCGAGCAATTTTGGTTACTCGCAGAAGCAGCAGCCAACCTCATTGGAATCATCTACGAGATTGCCATCGCTGCTGCCAGATCTGGTTGGTCACGATCAGCCGTCTTCGCAGTCAATGACTAGGGACGGTAACGGGAGCGATCACAAGCTGTTTTGTGGATCAGCTGATTCTCGACCATCTTCTGAGTATCTGCAACATTATTCTGCTATAGTTGATAGTGATGTTGATATGATAGAGTGTATTTGGGGCCTCGATGACTCTGCTTTTGAGGAGATGCTGTCAACGATAGAGTCCGACATTTAGTTTTCTGCTTCTTACGTGATACAGTATTTTAACCCAAAGTTCACACAAAGATCTGATTTCTGGGGTATGATATTTTAGCCAAAGCGAAGTCATCGACGCTGATCTGGTTTGGCGTCCAACTTATATCTCAGCTTGCGCGGAGCTACTGTTTCAGGCGACCTTAATAGAGCAGTTGCTTATACTCAATAGTTCAAATCCTTTTTGCAGAGCAAAAATCTTGATCTTGAACAAAGCGACCGCATTCCTTCATAGATCACAGCTGAACATTTATCTGGCGCGATAGTGGATGGCTTGTATCGCACATTCCGATTGTTTAGCGTATAACCTCATGAAGCCATTTGAGACAAACAATATTGATTAGACCTGCATATGTGATCAGCTTCTCAGGGGCTTGTTCATTTGCGCAGTTCCTGTAGTAAAAATTACAGCACATACGCTTTATGTTATTAACCGCCTTGGTAAATCTACCAGCACTAAATAGTACAGTCTAATTCACAGCGCTGAATTGTTATGCGGCCTTTGAATACATAGACTATACAGTTTGAGATGCTACATCATGACCACTATCTTCGTTCTTGCGCTGTGAAGCGAACATTCAGATAAAAGAGCCCAAACCATCTCGTGAAAGTCTGCTATCGACATTAATGAGCAAAGTATAATTGGACTACATTTGATTTTGGTAGCAAAAAGAAAACCTCAGCTAAAATTCAAAAGATGTCAAAGAAAACAAATAATCATAGCGACTGGAATGATACAAAGTAAAGCTCAGGACATTAATCTTCAACAAGCCTTCTCTCGTCGTGAAAGCACTCTTAGTTCCCCGGAAACGAATTTATGTTAACACAAAACCATCACAACTGAGTGAACCAGATGAAGTCGGAAGTGGAGTTTCAACAGATGTTGAGTTTGAGAGGGACCTCAAAGTGGACGAGGAGCTAGACCTTGACAGAGTCGAAGATATTAGACAATGTATCGATCGGATGAAGAAGTCTCAATCTCCAATCAAAAATATCGTAGCCAGCAAACAGTCATCGACCACTGTATCTCTTTTTATTTTGAGACTCGACATAAAAACAAATAAGCTGTTCGTGCCGACAGTACGAGCAATTTGGGATATTTCTGTCACATTGTGCGTTGCTCTCTCGGCAACATTTGCAGGGTATAGCGCTCAAGTGGGGGGTAATGGCCTCTTGATTCAATGGCGTATTTCCAGCGATCGCTGGTCTATCTTGATAATCAAGAATGCTGTTATTTGCACCGCAGAACCAATTTCTCACTGAAACAAAGACGGTTGGTTGAGGCCTGCGTACAGTTAGCACGGAGACCGAGCATTCGTCTTGTATATTCAATAAATTCTAGACTTGCATTCTGTTCTAGGTGAAGATGTACGGTATGAGTGGGCAGAACGAAGTTCGTGAGATGAGGATACGTAGTCCTCATATATCGCAAGGTATGAGGTGGCCTGATTTGTATGCCTTGCCGTGAGAAATCTGGCCGGGCCGGGGAGACTTCTCACATAAATATGGCTAATTGAAACTTCTGTTAACTGAGTTGCACGGAAAACGAAATTTAATATACTCTGAGCGATATCCATCATATGGTGACAAAGTACCTAACCAATGGCAGCTAGTACGGATCCGGGTGCCAAGTGAGGGGTTTCAGGGTAAAAGTTTTCTAAGCTTTGTGGAGCCTGCCCAAGTATACTTTTATTCACTATTCCCTTTGAGAAACGGCAATGTAGCACGGAACGTCATAAGCTGCAGTTGGCCGAGCTCCACATAAGAGTCGGGTGTGGCATTAGTGGCAGCGACGGGCTCGGAGCGGCGACGCAAGGGAGGGACAGTCTTTGGGGTGGTACTCTGTTTCTTCAGCGACGCGGCTCAAAATTCCAGCACGCCCAAGAAGTTGTTGTTGTAGTTCAGAGGTATGAATTGAGTTGTTATTTCCGAGGGATACATGAGCCTATATATACAACAATGAGCCAAGTTGATTAGAAATCAACTTAGTCGTCTATATAGACACTTCGGAGCTAATTCCGACGGTACGGCTTGGTTCCTGATCTGCACCAGCCTCATATCACAACATTCCCCTTCAGGATCGCTTTGCTGGCAAGGCGATACTGGATTAACGCTGTGTAGGCAAGCCTCGGTAAAACCACTCAAAAACCTTCGTGGGAAAATAAAGTGGAAAGAGCGCCTGCGCTGTCACGTTTGTTGCCTCCGAGTCTCCAAGGCTTCGATTCCTAGAAGACTACAGAACTTGGCAAAAGCCGTAGGTCCCAACGGCTTGGTGAGACCGTCAGCGGCCTGTTCCTGAGTAGGAACATATTGAAGACCAATCTCGCCAGCATTCAGCACTGCTCGCTGATAATGGAATTTCACGTTGAAATGTTTGGTCCGTTTGTGGAACTCGGGATTGCGCGAGAGGGCAATAGCGGACTGGTTGTCAGCCATGATGTTGGTGACCGGGGACCGGTACATTTGCGTTTCTGCTAGGAAGGTGCGGAGCCACTGCAGATGTAGAAGGGCATTGTATTGTCCAATGTACTCGGCATGAGTCGTCGACGTGGCCACTTCCCCCTGTCTCTTGGACGACCAGGAGACTGGTGCGCCTGCAAGTTGGAACACATAGCCAGACGTGGAGTATGCCCCATCAGTGACGACGGAGCCACCGAAGTCGGCATCTGTGTATCCGATCAACTGACCACTGCGGTATGTAATGCGATGGCATTGCGTGGCTTTGACATAGCGAAGCAATCGCTGCAGGGCAACCTGATGGTGCGATTGCGGCTGAGACGTGAAGCGACTCAACGTGCCCAGCGCGAACGCAATGTCCGGCCGCGTTCCGACCATCAGATACATCAATGAACCGATGGCGGTTGCGTATCGTGCTTTTGTTTCCTCATCCGGAGGTTCTTCGTCTGGGCGGCGATTCAAGTCTTGCTTGGGATTCATAGGGGTAGATTTCGCCTGGCAGGTTTCCATGCCAAAGTCGGAAAGAACCTTTTGGATGTACTGTTGTTGGTGAATGGAAACGGCTCCGTCGGCATGGTAGTCTAATTGGATCCCGAGGAACGAACGTGGAGTTCCAAGGTCGTTCAATCGGAATTCTTTTTCCAGTGCTCGTTGCACTTGGTCTATCTCGTGCGAGGTTGATGCAGCAACGAGAAAGTCATCGACGTAGACGCAGATCACGCAATTGGATTTATAGAACACGCAGTTGTCCGATTGTGCCATGGTGAAGCCATGAGCGGCCAGAACGCGGTGGACGCATTGGTACCAAATCCGCGGGGCCTGCTTGAGTCCATACAAGGAACGACGAAGCCGGCAAACATATCCCGGTTCTTCGAAGCCTTCAGGCAACTCCATGTAGATGGAAGAGTCAACGTCACCATGTAAGAATGCAGTGACCGCATCAAATTGGTGAAGCTTCCATCCTCGTAACACGGCGCTGGCGATGATGCAGCGGACCGAGTCCATCCGTGACACCGCAGCAAATGTTTCATGGTAGTCGATGCCGTGCTTCTGCCGGTAGCCTTTGATGACCAGTCGCGCTTTGCGCGTTCCGTTGGTTTTGGTCTTAAAGACCCATTTGCAGCCGATCACATGATCTCCGGCGGGTACGTCTGTTCGTAGAACCTTTTCCCATGTTCCGTGTTCGAGAAGAGACGCATATTCTTTCTGGATGGCTGCCCACCATTCCAGTTGATTCGGGCACGACACGGCCTCGTGGAAAGTCGACGGATCGACTGTGCGCGCAGATGCAGTATTCAGTGCGCCTGCGGTGTACACTTTGCCAAGTGATTCCAGTAAGCGCCGTGAGGGTCTTCTTCTGCGGCCATAGATGGAATAGCCGAGGTCCTGTGTGGACTCTGCTTCCTGTTCGATTGGATTGACCGGTGGAAGTGTTTCCACATGCTGAGATGGCGTTTTCAGTCGTTCAGCCAAACCTGGAGGCGATGCTGGTGGCGTAGGCAGTGCGCTAGATGGAGGTGGCACCACTGGTGAAAAGACAGGTGATGGAGGAGCGTTGTCCGGGAGGTCGTTGCCTGTTTCCCCCTCGATGAGTGGCGCCACTGGGGTCCTCTCATCGAACTCGACATCACGGGAAAATACTGTCTTACCTGAATGAATTTCATACAGCTTGTACTGGTTCGGTTCACTGTAACCTAGCAATCGGCACTCGGAGGATCTGGGTCCAAGTTTGGCTCGATGCTCTTTCGGGATCAACACCCATGCGCGGGAGCCAATCCGTCGCAGATGCAACAGCGAGGGCGGCTTCCCGTAAATGATTTCGTACGGGGTCTTCTTCTGCAAAATCGATGCTGGCGCGCGCAACTTCAGATAGACCACCGTGTCCACAAGCTCGGTCCACCAGGAAGGAGGAAGGTTCGCATCAGACAGGAGCGTGTTGATCCGCTCCCGGATAGTGCGATTCGTGCGTTCGGCCAGACCATTCTGTCCTTTGCAGTATGGTGGCGAGGTGTCAAACTCAACTCCCTGGGTCTCGAGGTGTGCTCCGATCGGCAGGTATTCTCTCCCGTTGTCGGTGAGGAACCTCTTGATCTGGGCACCGAACTGTCGGTGCACCCAGGCCGCAAATAGTCGGAACTTCTGGAGCGCTTCATGCTTCCATCTCATGGCATATGCCCACGAGCCACGAGAATAATCGTCAGTAAAGGTGATCACGTACCTGGAGCCATCTTTGGCGATCGGCATCTCCATGATGTCCGAATGGATCATTTCAAAGATTCTCGTTGAATGCAGACGTGGCCGTCTTGCACGGGAGTTCCTCTTCTGATGCTGCTTACCCGACATACACGCTGGGCACTGCGGCGTTGCCAGCAGCTGCGCCTGCGTTAGCGGTCGGTACGGAGTGCCGGTCTGCCGGAGGACCACCCTCAAGTCTCCCCGGTTCAGATGTCCCATCCGAGCGTGCCACAACGCTTCGGAGGCCTGGTCCACTCCTTTGCACGCATCTTCCTCGAGTATCACAGCTTCACCACCGAGTTCAGAGGTTGACGTTGCGCATTCTGCGTCACTTGACTCCTGAGGGTCGTCGACGTCCATGGCCACCGCCTGCGGTTCCAGGGAATCTGCATGGCCACAGGTCGCCGGCGCCCTCGCCAGTTGGACTCGCTCTCGAGATCTTCTGCTCACATGGCACCGCAGGATCAACAGATCCTCCTCCGCATGGTAGGCAGTCCCCACGGTCCGTCCTCGGCGTTGCACAAAGACGTTCTGTGGGTGCGCCACCACCGAGTAGCGGTCTCGCAACAGCTTCGGCACGCTGATCAGGTTCATCCCGACGCGTGGCGCGAAGTATACATTCTTTAACACCAGGGGTTGGTTGAACTTCCCCCGGAGCGTGAGCTTCACCGTACCAATCCCTTCGGCTTCCACTGGATCGCCCGCCGTGTCCAGCATCTCGCGGTGGGGCCGCAGACTGCTGAAGCAGCTCCGGTCCCAGCAGATGTGGCTGGTGGCGGCCGAGTCCAGGATCCACCGGGGTTGCGGTGCGTGGGTATAGAGGGTCGTCACCCTCGCCCTCACGATATTGATCCTCGGTCTCTTGGAAGTCGGCGGGCCCTGCCGATCTTCTCTCTGGCTTGACAGTATATTTTGCATGTTGTTTCTTGGTGAGCCGGAAGCACTCCGTTCAGCCTTCAGGGCATGGTCCCTAGGCGGGTGAATTTCGCGCTGTTTCTTCCAGCACTCCGCGACCACATGGCCGCGCTTCCTGCAGTAGGTACATTTCTTGGGATTTCTCTGCACTGCATTTATTGACGGTCCTGGGACTCCCTGCGGGGGCACGGGAGACTCCTTTCGTCGGACCGTCTGCTCGGCGTTGGACAGCCGATTTCCGATCGTGGTCGGGTTGACCGGATCCTTGTCATTCTGGATCGCATCCACAACCAGGATGTATTCCGGTCCGATCTGCGTGAGCAGAATTGCAATATGTGTCTTGTCACCGATTGATCCTGGAGCAATGGCATTCAATCGATGTACAAGCAGCCGTACGCGATCAACAAAATCACGCGCACTGGCACATCGTTCGCCGGTTGTCTCGCGAAGTTGAGCAAACAGTTCGCAGAAAGTGGCGAGTTCCATTCGCCGGTACCGTTCTTCAAGTTCATTCCAAAGGTCACGGGACGTCTCTAGTCCCGCGACATGAATGCTGATGTGGGGGGACAGGTACCGGAAGATGGTGTGGTAGGCCTCGGCTTCGCGGCGCGACCATTCACGGTGGCGCTCGAATGCCTGGACCTCCACTTCGAGGCGCGCTTCAATGGCTCGCTGCCTCACCGCCCCATTGAGGTGGGGCTCCACCAAGGGGTGGATGTCCGCCGTAATAGGTTTGGCGTACTTGAAGAGACAGTCGGGACGCTGAAGGTCGCCCGACACGACATCCCAGACCTGCCTGGCTTTGAGGTAGGAGGTCATGAGACGTTTCCAGGTCGCGAAGTTATCGCTTCCCGTCAGAGGTTCGATGGCCGTGACGGCTCGGTCAGGAGAGTCATGGACCAGAGCAGACATAGTGATGATTGCGAAAGCGGGGTAGATATATAATCAAGATTGATGAGATGATTCTCAGATGAGTAGAGACGGCAGCCGAGATTATGCTCCCGGGCTCATAACCTGTTGTAGTTCAGAGGTATGAATTGAGTTGTTATTTCCGAGGGATACATGAGCCTATATATACAACAATGAGCCAAGTTGATTAGAAATCAACTTAGTCGTCTATATAGACACTTCGGAGCTAATTCCGACGGTACGGCTTGGTTCCTGATCTGCACCAGCCTCATATCACAACAATTGTGAAGTATATTTCAACGTTGATTGACGACATCCACCAAATCGTGCGTCTTTTCTGGAATTCTGATGTTTGCTTTCCACTCTTTGATGCGACTGCATCACAGGACAAGGACTTTGTCGTGAAAACGTGCCTGGCTAGGGATGGTAATCGAATAGTGCTAAAGTCGGTACTGTAAAGTACTGAAATTTCATAGACAACCCAAATTTCTGATGTTGCCAGTTTAGCGTACATAGTTAGGCATGTCTCCGCCCCACCAGTGTGCTTGATTTTTCGATCAGCAGGGCAGGGGTTCGAGTCCTACCGATACTGGTTTTTTTTTTCTTGTTCAAGAACTGAATTTCCAAAAGCACCTGTGTTATGGCCACCTCCTTACAGCCTAATTGGAAGCTCCGTGCACGCCTCTCGCATTCCTGAACGACCTGAGGCGGTGGCGTCTTATCTTGCCGTGAATGTCCAAGATCCTGCCTTAGGCTCTGTGTTGCCTTTCGATTTCGCGGCTTGTGCTGTCAAGCTGAACGCTCTTTGTCTGGTCTTCATTTTAGAAACGCACGCAAAAAGCTCGGGTTCCGAAACTAGCTCGAAGCAAATAAAGCTTTTCCCATCACGAACCCTGATCATGTTGCCCAAGTCGTCCTCCTGAGGCATCCAGGCTCTGCCGACGCGACTCCACACGAGTTGTTCTGCAGGGAGAGTGTAGCAACTACACGCGCGCGAAACGGTAAGCTGTGATTGTCGTTCAATGCAAAAATTACTCACCCTTTCCCTTTGCCCTGATACTCTGCCCCTCGAGGGGTCATATATAGTTCTCTCTGACGACCACTGGCTGGGTCCGATGGGACGGTTTCTTCGTTGTTGCCCTCGAGCTCATACATTCTGTTCTGGTGAGGTGGTTAAGATCAGCTTCTCGCCACAGAACCAGAACGTCCTTCAGGGACAGAAGGATTGACTTACTTGAAGCATCGCCCTGTAGCTGATCATAGTGTCTTGGGCTGGGATCGCCGCAATCAATACACAGAAACATAAAAGGACGGGTAGACGTGGAATCAACATTACGCGATAATTTCATGGAAAGCCAGAAGGCCCAGGAGGGAGAAGAGGTCTTTATCTACTCTACTAGCCCGCCGAAGATCAACGAGGCCTGCAAGTGGATCAATATTTCTTTCTATCGGATTTCTGCAGATTCCTACATTGTACACAGGCCTATGTGTAAATCGGGTCTGAGGGAAATGACCGTATTGATTGAGTTAGCTACATAACCGCTTTCGTAGAACACTTGGTTATAACAACAACCCAATTGTGGCATATTGATTACACGTCTTAGTCATCCTAGACCTTACACTCGCGTTTGCGCTTCCGTTTCTCATTAGACTCGGCCGATGAGCATTGATGAGACGCTCTGGGGCGCAGACGTTGGAGCCAGGCTTGCCGAATCGCCTCGCTAGTAATGGCCTGGTCTTGCTTTTTCTTATCGTCCTTTTGGCCGAGGATTTCGGGAGAAGTCCACCACGCGGACTCAAGCCCCGGAGGCTGCTGCTGACGCAGTCGTAGTGTAATATGGCTGCGTTCACGTGATGGGCTGATGGGGATATCTCCCATGGCTCTCTCCGCCAACCGGCGCGAATGACCCAGAACTCTTTTCTTCCTCGTGGTTGATGTAGATCGCATCTTGGGCGGATGGCCCAGTAGGCTGAGTCTCTCCGGAGAAATGGCTCTATTCTGGCGCAGTCGCCTGGGAGAGATTTGCGCCATCTATGCTGGATTTTATACTGGAGAAGATGAATGACTCTGGCGAGCGCCACACCAGCCATCAGCGGATTCTCAGACTATTTATCTTGTGGGAAAGCGCTACTACGAGCCGGCCTTTCCCTCAATTATAACTTCGCTTTCGAGAAATTGAAGGTCGCCCTCAGGTTTGACAAGAGCCATTCCAACAATCGGCCCTTTGTCCGACTTAGAAAGCCTGGGTCTGCATCTCCGTAGAACTACCATCGTTGGCCGCTAGCCTCGTTTCGAGATATGAGGACCGGCAATCGTCATCCGATTGCAATGGGCGACGGAAAAAAGGGTCAGGCTTTGCTGGGCTTTGCATTACAGTAATATGCACTACATTTTCCTTAATGAGAGATATTTTAATTGCGTACATAAAGCAGCCAAATCCAGCTGCGGGAAAAACCACCCCATGGCTACTGCAACCATAGGTGAGAGCCTGGGCATCCAACAATAATTCACCAAACACATATGGAGTAACAGAAATGTGGGAGATTCCGAGTCCCAACTCGCCTTAGCCTTGGGCTGTGGCGCCTGCTAATGTGGTTATTCTGGCATTTAAACAGAGGTGGTTATGAGCCTCATGCTAGATGGTGCGAAGAAACTCCAATACAAGGGTACCGACAATAAACGTTAATAGCCAACTGTAGAAATAGATACGCATATAGCCCACGCTTTGTTATAGACCAATGATTACCAGTCAGGAAGGGATCCCAAATGACACTCACAAGCAACGAGAAACGTGCTCTGTCCAGGCAGCAATGCCGGGAAGCTCTGGCAGCTCACATTCGTATGATGCCCAGGCAGAAAAGTACCAGAACCGTTTAACAGCTAACGGCATAATTAGATGAGCGATTAGGTTTGACTGTCGCACCGAGTCGGGTCCGATTACAGCCCTCCGCAGCAGACGGCTACGCATGGTCGGTGTCAGATTCTCAAAAACATCTATTGAAAACAAATTTAAGCAATGGGACGGTTGGCTTCTACCAGGACATACGTGATGCACTTGTGTGTGAGATGGAAGCTGTTAGCCCGCAGACGTTGCGGGAGCTTGACACAGGTTTTGATAAAAAGATGAGCGCCAAGGTGAGCCACCCATATTTACGGAATGTCAAAATGCTGAAAGATCAAAGCGCCCGTGCCCACCAAAGCTTTCGAAGTCACGCGAGACAGCTTCTGGGGGTGGCTCTTTCACGGTCACTATTCAACGACTTGAAAACGCAAACAAGGAACTTGCAGCTGAGCTTGTACGTGCCAAAGCCTGCTCGGAGGATTTGCTCAAGGAAAAGCTGGAATGGGAGGTAAAGTATCGAGAGATTGACGGGGAACTCGACGCCAGCCGGCGTTTGGTGAACCATTTGGAGAGCGAGCTGGTTCGCGTGGGAATGGGTGTTACGGAAGCTATGAAGATATTGCAGGACCACCAGCTTCCAGAAGGAAGCCAATCATACGTACAAGAAGAGAAATAGTTTTTCACCAGTTGTGCTGTTGCCTTGTCTTTACTGTACCAGGCGGTTTTCTATTTTTCTGTTCTTGAGCTCAAGGTTGCAAATGTTTTAGTAAGCTATCCTACTATGCCTAATAAAGCCTTAGGTTTACTACTGCAACCAAGCCCTTTTTCTGCATATGCTTTTAGCATGTTGTCGCATTCTTGTAGCATAATATAAGTTTGAAGTTTCTGTATCGTATGTAGTAGTCATGTCCCAAGAATAGAAATATGCATTGAGATCGTAACTAGTGTCTACGTAGAAATTGCGGTGGCATATATTCTTTGTCCAGTTCGACGAGAACATAAATGATTGCAGACCAGAAATAGTGCCAGTCGGCAGAAATACTATTAAGAGACAAAAGCAGTGGTCATCCTCCTGTACTACCCCCCTCATCTCATAATGTGTAATATATGAAAGACAGGAGGCGAGCTTCGCTTCAACTGCGTGCCGGAAAGTTGATATCGTAGTGCGAGGTCTTGTTTACGATATTCACCATAAGTTTTAGTTCTGCCTCACCTTTCAGGGAAGCAAAAAAGCCGTCCTGGTTGCTCAGCTTTGATCTTCGCATATGGTCAGGCCGACTTACCAGCATCAATTCGTCCAGTTCGACCGTATCCAGCCTTTGTGGGAGATTCCGAGCCTCTGCGCTCCACGGAAAATCAGGGTCGAATTTCTCGTTCTTTTTTATTAATCTTTTGACAATCTCTGACAATGCGGTCAGCTTCAGCGTAGCCGCATTCATGTCCTCAGGATCGATGCGGCAACTTCGTTCCACGCCAGCTATTGAGATGCGGTGGTATTAGCGACTGCGATGACTTCCCCATACATATGGGAGCTGGCTTACCGATCCTGACCCCACCAGACCCTGTAAACAAGACCTCGTCGTTGGTTAGTGTGGCAAGAGCTCTATCGCAATCGCGGAGATACCTGATCCCGATAAGAATCTACAGAGGGTCAGAATTGGTCTCGAAGTGGGCTTGTGTCTCCAAGAGCAATAGAAACGGGTAGGTAGACATACTGGCCACACAATCGAGGCAATCTCGGTCTCACTTAGGACGTACTTGGATCCCAGGACCTGAGACAAGGAGCATTCGACCGGCTCCCACACTAGGAACGAGTGATCCTCATGTTGGTAATGACACAGGAGCCGTGGGAAACTGCGGTAAGAGAGATCGTTGACAGTCTTTACCAACGACTGTATCGAGGCTGGCTCCGCCTTGAGCTGTTGAATGTGGACCAGCTCCATTTTGTCCTCTCTATTCTGGGCCAGAAATATTCCCTTTCGCGGAAAGATTTCAATGCCTTTGATATATACCGACCAAGGATCTTCGCTCAATGTCTGGAGACTGGAAGTGGATATTTCTGAGTTTCGCTTTCGCTTCCGAAATTTGACCAACGGCTTGGTCGGAGGTTTGGTTTTCGGGAGGGTGGTTGGGTTGGACTTGGTGTGGGTGGTAGGTGCAGCCACGTCTTTCGTCCGCTCCACAGGTGTGATGGACACACTATCATTGCCACCGGAATCGGCTTTCGTGGGAAAAAACATAGTTTCAGGCCTACTGGCCTTGGGGCGATTGGCATCCATCGTGGCAAACTCTCGTTGAAACGGTTGGGAGAGGATTGGGTGGCTTGGTTGATTTGAGGAATGGAGGGTTATATTCCTAATTCGAGTGCAAGGTCCTGTTCTGGTATATGGGTGCTGTAGCTCATTGATAGCTGAGGTGTCTGAATCAAAAATCAGGAAACGTCACCAATATATACATTTCAACAGCCGTTTATTTAGCATTTCACAAAAGGGATGATGCTCCACGCGGTAATATTACTGCAGTCTCTAGTGATTGACGGCTGATGACTGGGACGCCGGCAGGGCAAGTTGTTAATCAACTACGGCTTAGACGGCCTCAAAAGAGATCCTTATCCTTAGCTAGTCTCTATAGATAGATCATCACTTGGCTTCTTACCCTTTTTGCAGCTGAAGCGCATCAGGACTGAACATTCGCCGTTTTGACTTCACCTTGGCTGTCATAGTTTCCAAGCAGTGGTAAAACGAGAGAGCGGGATAGCTTTCATCTACACTCTTTGCATGTCGCCTTTCTCTTTGTGAATAGATTGGTGTAATTATTGAATCGAAACGGCGCCATTTGATCACCCTGGGTCCTGTCGAGTTTGGTAGTCAAATGTAATGTTGCTGCATAATAATACACAAACACGGCGATACACTGAAAGAATAGTGCCGCGCGACCACGACGACGTACATCTGTCGAATTGTGTATACTCAAGAAATGACCAGGACCATGCACCTTCCACAACCCGTAAAACAAAATACATAAAGTAAATGAACAAAGTAACACAGTACAGCAGGCTTCAATTTCCAGCTCCAGTTGTTGAGGGTCGTCAATCGATGGTGGCCAATGGAGGAGTTAATTCGTAACTTTTGATTTCACGCGGGCGCAATCGGCGAGTTACTAAAGTGGTTGGCCTGTTTAAACAACTGACGTGATCTGAAGTGGTTGACCTGTTTAAACAATTGACGTGGTCAAATGTGGATGCTTGCTGTGGAGACATCCTGAGGTCACCTCAAAATAGTTGCACAAAAGGCAGGCATTTTAGTGCAGTAACCCACGGTCATGTTTGGGCTCCACTTACCACATATGCCTCATGTATAATACTCTGACAGAACTGGATCCCCATCCTAGGAAGAAGGTGGGTAAATGTCAATCGAAGGAACCCAAAGTGTAGGCTCTTAGAAGAAGCAGGCACTTAAATGCCTTGTAAAATCAACGGGGTTGAACATGCTCCTGGTAACGTTCTAGACCTTCGTATCCGTCCTAGCCCGTCTGGGCTATTTCCTACTCCTAGGAGTTGCATTCTACCCATATTGACTCCTGGGAGCGTTTTTAATTGCTCCTAGGAGACTTATTTCTATATGCTCGTTCCTAGGAGTCAAACATGCTCTTACATTTCACTCCCAGGAGCGTCAACCCTTGGCAATAACAAATTTGTTGAAGGTATATTAGTGCCTAGGAGCTCATCCATTCCTTGCTAGAAGCCTTAACGTCTACATACGCTCCTAGAAACCCCGCTTATGCTTGTCAAGGATATAGATGAAGCATGCGGAACGGATGGAGATATGATCCGCACGGGACCCACATGGTGTACATGGGTTCCCCTGAACGCGAGGAAGCTACCTTTCTTTTGCTTCCTCGCGCTACGTCTTGTATCTAGAGTCAACTATAGTTGTTCTTAATATTGATTGTTTATCTTGAAATACTATCCACCTCTCTGTATACGTGAGACCCTCACAATGTTACCTTTCGTACCTGGGAGACTCAAAAGCTTGGTTTCCTAGAGTTGTTCCTAGGAGACTAAGATTTTGTCTGCTCGCGTTCCACACCCGCTGATACCTTCTTTCGCAATGATACATAGATACAGGGAAACGCCTTTTCCATCTATAGGGTTGAAATGAAGAAAAAAGAAGATGCCCTCGTACAGTATTTGTAAGAACGGGCAACTCGTAGAAGCCTGGGCTTGCCTACTATTGAGACGCATTGCTCCCAGGATCATTCAATTACATAGCATAGTTCGCTCTGGCGGGCCATGTGGCAAAACCGTCTGGCTGATAGAGCCCTGAGTTTACAGAGCCAGGAAATTGACCGAGCTCAGCCTCATAAGGAATAAAGCTTGACCAGAAAGAATGTGTCTTTTTTTTTTCTCCTCTATCATTCCTTGTTGTGTCCTTCTTTCCATGAGCATCGAAGCAATTACTTAAACACAACTTGCCCAAATGACCTTGCGCTCCACAATGTCTACCAAATACACTATTCGGATGCGCCTTGCCATTGCGTTCCTCGCTATCATAGGGCTGGCCTTTGCCAGTCTCAACTCGGCTATGGCGCGCTTCGCGATTATTCTGCGGGACCGAGCAAAAGCCGATATCATCACTCCCAACAAATCCATTTCAGACAACACATTCAGAAATCTGATGGACAATGTCCTCGTCGACGTCCTGATTGCAGTCGTCATATCCACCTCGTTTGCTGTTGTGGGAGCTGTGCTTGCGTGCCACCCCCGATGGCTACGAGGGCAAGACAGAACCTGGATGTACTTCGGGTGCTTCCAATGCATCCTGAGCCTGGTAATTCTATCAACCGGGGGTTATCTGGCCGACCACGTGCATGGCTTTCAAACCTCCTTTGAAAGGGTTAGCGGTAATGACAACTTTCAGTATTACAAGATCATGTTCTTTGGAGGGGTTGGTCAGGCGGCTTATGGGTCTCTGGTTATATTCATGGCCATTGCATCCTTTGTCGCTTTTTTGATCTATGAACGTCACGAAAGAGAAACTCAGCCAATCGAAGCAACGCGACAATCAGAGCAGTATCTGTGAGGTGGGTCTCCTCAGGCTCAGCGTCTCCTCGGGGGCAGCAGGGACAAAGGTGAGGTGGTCTGTAATGGGATACAGCCATCGGCATTGTTAGATGAAACGTTTGAGGTTGCTAGTAGACGTGGATCATGCATGATCGAATCATTGAGAAAACGTGGTAGATAGAGGCTTGTAAAAGGGAAGGGCTTAATTCTTGTTGCACGGCGAGACATTTAATGAGTCCTAACGTACTACGTGGCTTTAGGCTATCTATATCAAATGCTACGACGAAAGTTTGGATGCAATTAATGCTTTCTGGTGAGACTACAAGGGGAAGGGCGAACCATCATGGATACTGTCGAAGGTGGCTTTGAACAGCCTTTACCCCTTATTGAACGGGAACCATATCCCCTATTCATAAAGAGAGTTTACTGCCACTTCACAATTGCATCTTTACTCTCCTGCGCATGCGCCTCTGGAGAAGCTTTCTTTAGCCACAATATGACATCGCTACTTTCTGATCAAATCAAACTGTCTTTCATTAGAGCGATAGGAGATCCCCGGCTTCGTCCGCAGTGTATCTGGGTTAGTGAAAATGGGCTAGTCTGCCCTAATGACGTTTCGATGGACAGTCGCAACCTCGCTAGCACCGAGCTACTTGCCTTGGGGGATAATATCTCTAAACCCACTCGGAAGGACATCTCAAGGATCGCCAGTTTTCTATTGTGTGAAGACTGCAAGGTTCATGAGATCCAATGTCCAGAAATCGTTTGACGGCTCGGTGAAAAGTATCAACAGCCACGCCGCTCATTGTTCCGTTGTGACAGGCGTCTCTACAACTACAGTATCAAGGAAAAAAGCCGTTTGGGCTTCGAACTGGGCTTCTCCGGCAAGGCTTACAACGAGATGTTTGGATCCCGAACGAGCAGACGATGATAGCTAGGAAGGGTGGGAAGAGTTTGGATGAATGAAATGCTGTACAATAGCTCAAAAAAAATCAAATGTTTGTCCGGAAAACAGTTAAAGCATGGACTTGACTCGTTAGACCTTTGATAGCTAGGAAGGCCTCTATAGATGCAAGACCACGTAATGTACCTAAGACTATTGCAATATTCTCATGTAGCTCCCGGGCCACCCTTCTAGAAACAATGCATTTTTACTGTCCACATTCGCCAAAAAGAGCACATCGCCATTCGTTCCAAGTCAAAAAGCGAGGCCCTTTGTAAATGCTACGGCAAGTCCGGTCTTTTCTTTGCAGTCGGGTCGGGCATCAAGCGAGGAAGGAGATTTGATTGGAAGCTGTGAGTCTTTCAGTTCCAATCCTTAGAATGTGCATTATATGAGACTTACATCGGGCGAGGACGCGCAGGAATCTCTCGTGCTTCTGTCTTCAGTAAATGGGCCGCCATCCAAGGCAGATGCCAGCAACAACTTTCTCGACGAATCGGGCGTGGGCTTAATTTCTTCTGTTGGTTGAACAAAAGGATGACCTTCCAAAGCCATACATAGCCGGAAAGTGAGGATTTGCGGCCCAAGTACGACTTTCTGGTCCACCATGATGATGTTGAATAAGGGCGGTTCTTTGCGAAAGGAGAGATGCAGATTAAACTAGAGGCATGGTAAAATTGCGAGGGCAAAGCTGGCTTTTATATTCTGCGGATAGCACTGACTGCGCCATGAAGGTTGAAGCAGTGCGAAAATTCCCTGGTTGCGATTACTCTCATGTCCTTTGTAGTCAGGGTTGGTCGATATTCCTAGGAACAAGATACGTAAAAAGCATCCATTCATTGGTCTGTCTTTTTAAGCGAGGGCTTGCGGTGTTTGCACGCCGAAACCCGCTGGCCTAGAAGGTCACCAAACATGAGGTCTACTGTACCTAGGAACAGTAGGGGAGATGACAATGACTACCCGTGACGTTGCAGGGTATCGGCGTGCGAGTGTGGTTGTTGCCTGGGTTGAGCATACAACCATTGCGTTCGACTTTTTCTTGGGTTAAAATCAAGACGGGAATTGCCTTCGTGGGCAACATACATCGGCCCTGAGAACTAGTGCAATATACCAACGCAACGGAAAGATTATCTGGAACGGCCGATGCCGTATCTTCCATGTCTGGTGGAACGCGAAGGTGTTGAAATTGAAAGGCGACTCTTCCATGGTGTAATATCGTCCTGGATATTTCCTGTCAGCCTGGGTTGGACCTAAACGGAGAAACAACCACGAAATGAATTTGACTGGGATTCTTTTGCCACACTCAGGGGAAACTCATTTTTCAGCGATGCGGAGCAGTTCCGATCTCACACTGGGTAAGGAGAGAATAAACAGAAGGTGAAAAATACCCACGATGAGTTTAAGGGGGAAAATGAACAGATAACTTCGGCGACTTGCTAGCCCTTGTATCCCGTTGCCCCAATGTGTGGCTCGGTGGCTGGTTCTTTAGGCAGTACATTGTTTATTAAATTATTCCGATTTATTTCCTTTTTCTTTCCTTTCTGAGCCGACCACACTAAAGAGACAGATAGATCTTTCAGGTAATCTTTATGCAGTTCCCACAACCAACCAGCCCACCCTGCAAGTATTCGCATGGTTTGGATATCGCACAACAGACCAGCTATGTACAAACGAAAGACGTTGTACGGCGATGTCATTATCATCGGAGCAGGCTTGTCGGGAATCGACATGGCATGCCAGCTCCAACGGCAACTACGTGTTAGTGACTATGTGATTTACGACCGCGCTCGAGAATTGGGTGGAGCGTGGGCAGCCAATAATTGTGATGTTCCTTGATTCCGTCTGCATATTACTTGTTAACAAGCAGCAGATCCAGGATGCAATGTTGATATACCTGGCGCTTTATATTCGCTATCATGGTTCCCGAATCCAGACTTCACCAGACTGTTCCCTTCCCAGCGGGAAATTTTATCCTATATCCAACGTGTCGCTCGCGCTAACCATGTCACTAAACATGTGAGATCTCAGATCGAATGGAAAGGTGCCCAGTGGGTAGAAGCGTCAAGTAAATGGCATGTCTATCTCTGCGATTTGAAGACAGGAGAAGAATTCATTCACGAAGCCAAAGTGTTGATCTCTGCTGTCGGGGGCTATACAAATCCCAAGTTCCCCGTCCTACCTGGCTTGGGGCGGTTTGAGGGTCCCGTCGTGCACACTGCCCAATGGAACAAGGAGTACGGCCTCCGAGGCCTCAACGTGGCCGTGGTGGGTAATGGATGTTTGTTCACGCCCTAGAGTCGTCTAGGAGACCATTGGATTAACAGTCCTGCAGGCTCCGGCTCACAGCTAGCTCCTGCTGTGAATCTAACTTACTACATAACTTATGAAGTATTTTGCTATAATATTAGGTATTTGCTATATAGTTTTTATATTAAAAAAGATTTATTTGTAGTAGAATAATTGGGTGTGAAACATGCTATTTAAATACTATATACAGCATGTCTTATTCTAACCTAACTTGAAATCCTTCTAGCAATTTTGATGGCTTCCTAACCCTCTGGCTATGTGGCCTAGGTTGTATTGCGGGTAGTGGATGACTTCCGTTATCATCGTCATCATTCTCAGGATCATAGATCTCTATATCATCACCCTCGGAACCAACGCTCCTTCGTCTTTTCCCCCTTGCTACTGCGCTCTGTTCCTGTGTCTCCGGCTCAGTCTGCTGGGTTATAGTGCTGATATCTTCATCCTCAACCTGCTCATCGTCACTAATTGGATCGAACTTCACTGTCTCCGTGTTTCTCTCATCTAATGCTGCCTGTCTCTCCTCTTTCGTGAGATACTCATCCATTAAAAGGCGATAGTCTTCTTGAAGGTCGAGCCTTGATGTACACATATACATCATAAGCTCCTGAATAGTTTTTGACTTCAGGGAATCACGACGATAATGACATATATCTCTCGCAGAGTTAAACAGCCGCTCAACACCTGCCCCAGTTGCAGGTATCGAGAGGATATCCCGTGCGAGATTTGCAAGTATTGGAAACTCATTCTGATGCTCTCTCCAGAAGACTCGAGGAGACGAACGCACGAGCCCTATATTATGATTAGCTAATAACTCAATATAGAACTATATATAATTACCCCCTTCGAGATATCTCGTGAGCTCGTCGGATTCAACAGTGACCGAAGAGAATTGTGAGTCTCCAACTTGGGCCTGAAGTTCAAGCTCAAGCTCTGATATCCCGGTTATAAACTGCCGACCTTCGTCGCTAATGTTTAGATTCGTTCGAGCTTTATATCGCTGAAAGAAATTTTCGAAGCTTCGACGATACTGCGAATGCCAGTCTATCTCGTCGTTCTTCCAGCTTGGCGTGCTAAAGAACTGAAGCTTCTGTGTCGGCGCAAGGATCGTGCCAATTGCAAATAGATCACCGGGAATATTGTCGGTATCAGCATAATACCGTGAGAGCTTTACCTGCGCGGCTTCGAGAGCTTCATACATAACACGCTTCCATTTTACCCGCTTATTTTTAAGCTCGGCGCCCACTTTGATGAGATGATTGGATAGCTTATTGTAGATACTAAAGACGAGGTGTATGCTCACGTCCTTAGTCTTACAAAGTAAGCTTGTATACCGAAAGAAGGGTTCTGTCACCGAAAGGAGGTAGTCAATCTGTCGCCATTCCTCATTGTTGAAATTGAATTGGATGTGGTCGGCATGAGAGCAGAACTGAGAACAGAACCGGGTATAAATTGACTGTAGCCTTTTCGCACGTCGAAGCATTAGGAATGTTGAATTCCAACGAGTCCTAACATCTTGAATAGGAAAAAGCTTTGGCTCTTCGCTCTGTAGGTTTACGAATGACTCTAGTCGCTGGGGACTAGCGTTAATCCAAACCGCGAAGTTTCGAACCTAATAATATATTAGTACGTAAATAAAATATATAAAGATATAGAACTAACTTTACGAAGGGTATCAACGATATCCTTTGTTCGCTGTCTCCCCCTGAACTGCTGAATTCGTTCCTCCTCACACCATTCTGTCTCCGGGCTCTTGTTCTTTGGGACCGCTTTCATCTTGCCAAGTAGCTCCCCAAGACATAGCTGAATAATATGCCAGCCATTGTTGTTGGAGAGCACGTTCAGCAGCGACGTGCAACCCGCGTCGGGCCGTCCAAGAATTAGCAACATCTCCCCAGGCTTGACGTATCCGAATGGATTGTCAATGATGGTCTTAGTCTTACTGCCTTTGTTACTGCGATGGAAGGAAAAAAGCTGGAGACGACGTTCTCATTGAATGTGGCATCGCAACCAACGCCCGTGACTGAGGTTCTGCCAGGTTACGCCGAGCATTTTCGGCTTCTCGCCCCCGACTTCATCTCGTTCCTGGATCTGGCGCAATTCGGGGGCCATGTACCATGTCGCTCTAGCACGATAGTCCTTATTTCATGTGTCAAACCAATATTCACGCAAAGAGTGCATTAATCGGTGGCATCACGCCTGTTATAGAGCTTTATGACCCAGAGCATTCAGACCTCAATTCCACGCTGTCCCATAGCTTCGGTGCAATACAGCAAGGGAATCCTTTGCCGGTCGCGTAACCAGAAAGTTTTGTCCATAACTCAGCATTAAAACACCTCCTTACGGCGTGATGAGTTAACTAGAAAGTTCGCGACCCAATTTTTACCCGTTTTAAGTACCGCTACGTCGTCGCCGCGGTCCGAAAGCAAGAGCTCTATCATAATCTGCACAGTAGAGGGCCGTGGGGCAGTTCCGCGTCGATTCATTGAAATTATCCATTTTTTTCAGCGAGACTTCTTCCGTTTCGGATAATTTTTTATGTTGTTTGCACGTATATTGCTTCGATCGGGGCGCCCATGAAGACGGGATTGCAATTTTGTCCTCGACACGTCGTAAAGCCGCGCCGCTTCGCGGATATTCGTGAGTTGACCTGTTTTTATCGCTTTTACAGGGAGTGAGAGTCTTCCCTCTCGCTGTAGGTCCGTCCTCGGCGTGGTTTTTAGCATTATTTTCGTGGGATGGGTGTAAACGTTGGTGCAGAAATAGGTGTAAAAAGAATGTGGGATGGATTTTCGGAGAGGTGGCCGGCTCGTTTGGGTGGCCCGCTCATTTGTGAAATACGTTACATCAATCGACATTCGTCAGCACGCGAAAGTTTCTTTGTCCCAGGGGCAACTCTATCGATCTGGCGACCCCGGTTTTGCGATACTGCTGACGGACCTGAATTACGAGCTGTAGAAGTGGTCGCGGATGAGGTAGGTTCAATCCTCGTAACACCGTGCGCAATGTTCTGACGTTCCCATCAGGTTTTCCGTGACGATGAAGGAAACGCCGTCGATCACCCCGGCCTGCGGCTTCGCCTCAGCGATTTCACTTACAAGGGCCCAGAAGGAGATGGGACATGAAGATACGGATATCTCCATCTCTGGGATACAACTCTGTCACTATCTAGATGCGGTGGATAGAAAATTAGAGCGAGCCCTGGGCGATCAATCTCTTGCTAAGGACGTTAAAAAGCGGAAACGGTTGGAAACACCTCCTGAAGCTATTAGGGCAGGTGATGAAGCAAAGTATGCCGAGCAAGAGGAGAGAGCAGCGAAGCGCGCGGATCATGACATGTATTAGCAAGAGAAGTCATCAACCAAGAGCCTCTCAGACTAGAATACCAAATATGTTCTGCTCTGCCGATGTGCTGGAAGGACAGGTGGCGAACCCAGGTAGCTCGCGCCCCAACAGATCACCAGTCGCCACAGCTAGGACGCTTCGAGAATGCAATATGGTCTTAATCACCCAATAAAACTATTACAACAGTCTAGGCTTGGCGCAAGTGCGCAATATTATGATCTAGGATTTAAATCTTCCTTTGTGCAGCTTCAATACCACACCTGAAGCCAACACGTACGCGCCCAACTTCGCACTCCGTCTTTACTCTTCTTCGAGTAGGGTATCTTGGCAATCTTTCACTCTTCAATAAACACCATGCGTCTACGCAGACGCCCTCTTCGTCGCCTTGGTTCGCAACTTCATCATCAAGAACACCAGGGCGTAGAACACTCCAGCCCACAATACAACCAGCCCCGCATTCCTCCAGCCGTAGTACTCTTCGTTCAAATTGAGTGTCTTCAAGTAGTCTTGCCCAGTAGTGTATCGGCACACCTCGCAGTTCTCCGTAGCGCCTGGGTTCAGAAGGTTTGTGCCACGTCCCATGCCTTGCTGATAGGTGGAGAGATAGTCGCCACATGTCTCGTTCGCAGGAGGATTGAAGACCGCAAGCTCGCCCCGCTCGCAAGTGATGTCGACGGAGAAGGTGGTGAAGGTGAGGAAGGCGCCGAAGAGGTAGTTGAAGGGATCGAGGTAGTAGATCCTAATATGTGATATTAGCATTGATCTCGAGGGTGTTGATAGTCATATGAGGCTTACCAATACCTCCAGAACGCCGTGATCTGGGAGTAAGGAACGAAGACACCGCAGAATGATACGAGGGTGGTGATGACCAGCGGGTTGACGAGAGATGCAAAGGTTGCGTTGGGAGCGTACGCGGCAATCGATTGTCCAATACCGGTGTACAACATCTCGTAAAACATCTAGAAGGTCTGTTAGTTTGGAGCGAGGAGTTAACCAAAGAAGAGAGAACTTACTGCGACGAAGAATGTGCTGCCTGCCCACTTGGTATCATTTGGCAACCCAGCAGTCCAGTACCAACACACAAAGTACAACACACCGCAGACGACCAGGTAGGGCAGCTCAGAAACGATCAAGCCAGTGACGAATGGCACCCAGTGGTAGGTCTTACTCTTCTTCTCGCGCGTCTCATACACGTTGCGACGATCGATGAAGATAGGCTGAAGCTGGGAGATGAGACCGGGGGCGACAAACAGGAAACTGAAGACCGTGAAGAGGCGTTGCTGGAGATCGCTGACGCTATTACCAATCGACCAGAACGAAAACCCGTTGTAAAGAGACAGGAGTATATGCAAGATGAGCTTGTTGTTGATGTACTCGGTGTTGCGGAACAAGGAGATGTTCATGCGGTGCGTGACAAGCTTTACCTGCTCCCACATGGGCGCTGCGAATTGATGACCATCGTCGACACTCCCAGGCGGTTTGGCGGCAGCATCGGCGACAAGAGTGTCAAGCTCTTGAGTGATCTTCTCGTGTTCTGGCGAGTTGAGCCAGACTTGGTTCCAGTCCTTGCCCTTAGAAAGGCTTCCTGATACGACTTCAATCATGTGCTCAGCAGGGTTGGCCTCTCGGGGGCACGGTGCGCCATGATCAGCGAAGTATTTCTTGACGATTCTTGCATGGTGACCGATATCGCCAAAGTATACGGTCTTGCCACCCTTCGCCAGTAGGAGGAGGGTGTCGAATTGGGCAAAGAGGTCGGCCGATGGCTGATGAATCGTGACGAGGACAGCTTGTCCGACTTCCGCGAGTTTGCGCAAGAAGCGTACCGTGTTGTTTGCAGCTTGGCCATCGAGACCAGAAGTAGGTTCGTCGAGGAAGATCAAAATACTGGGCTTAGCTACGAGTTCAACACCAATTGTGAGACCTGATAAGTTGTTAGTGTCTGTCTCGACTCTGTTCGATAGATTCAGACTTACGCTTGCGCTGTTCGACAGAAAGACCGGCACCAGGACGACCGATGAGGGTGTACTCGAGATCTTCCAACTGTAGAAGCTTGACGATCGCGTCCACATAGCGGAGCTTCTCCTCGTGGGGTATTTCACGATTCTGACGAAGAAGAGCAGAGAATTCCAAAGCCTCGCGTACCGTGGACAATGACTCGTGGACATCCATCTGTTCGACGTAGCCAGCAGATCGTTGGAAGGACACAGGGAGCGGGCGACCATCAACTAAAACGGAGCCATGAATAGTACCATCAGTCTTGCGTTGAGCTAGAACGTCGAGCAGTGTAGTCTTTCCGGCCTGAGTGAAAATGTTAGCATATACCCATCTGTCAATCGTATTGCTAGTGCATTTACACCCGAAGATCCCATAAGAGCACCGAGCGTACCGGGCTTGACAAATCCTTGAACGTTGTCGAGAAGAAGACGATCGCCATGCGGCGTCTTGACGGTGTAAGTCAGATTCTTCCAGGTAAAGACCGATGTATTGTTGACGAGCTGGTTGTCGATGGTTGCGTCAGACTTCTCGGAACCGGAGCCGGAGTTCTCGGATAGCTTCTCGACAGCCTGGGATTCCTCATCCGCAACCACGGCCTTAGGTACCTTCTTCTGCTTCTCACGGGGGATGAGGAGACCGCGACCACCTTCGCCCATCTGCTTCCACCTGGAAGTGAAGAAGACGGTCATTGCCACGAAGAAAACGTACCAGGCGCAGAGAATGCCAAAGTTGCGCCAAAGGTTGCTGTGGCTGAAGGACATGGAAGCCAGGTATTGGTCACCAGTAACGCTGGTTGCTCCAGGAGGGGCACCACGGACGCCGGTACATGCTTGTCCGCCCCCTGTTTCGGGGCTGTATCCTTCGCCATTTGGAACCAGGAATGGGCCCACACAAGCAATCACCTGGTCGTGGAACTCGTTCGCGAGCAATGCTTCAAACGCGTAGGCCATGGGGTCGATCCAGAAGAACCAAACGAACCAAGGGTGCATGTCGGGCTTGGGAATCATGTATCCTGCATATGTGAAGGCAGCGACGATAGTGAATCCAGAAGCTTTAGTTGCTGCGTCGAAATTCGGGAAAGCGGCGCCGATGAACCTGAACAGCTGTGTCATAGCCAGGGCCGAGATCAAGTTGATGAGCCAGAAGATGAAGAAAGCCTGCGCGGTGTACTGGAATCCAGTCATGAAGTACAACACAATTCCAAAGTGCGAGATTTGGAAGAGCATGATCGGGATGTCGGTAATGACCTGGGCGAAGACAAAGGCAGATGGATGGTGGAGAGCGAAGTCTCGGTGTTTGGCTAAGACGGGTCGGCCGACGAACGAATCCGTAACCTCGGCGAGAGCGATGAAGGTAGGATATAGTAGAGAGAAGAAGAGTGAGCCTCCCTTGATGAACAAGCCCGCCGTGTTGTCCGGAGCATTGTAGAACAGTGAGCCACCGATCAGCGCCTGAACAATAGTTGTGGCTTGCTTGATGAACAGAGTTTGCTTGTCGCCCCAGAGGATTTGAAATTGGCGTATGGTAGCCGTCTGCACCTGACGGAAATATCCTGCGGACTCCGCAGCTTTCTTTGGGGAGGTTTATGTGCTTGTCTTGAGCCTCCTGTTCCTTGAAGTCTGCCGTGTTTTGCTGAGCTTCGGGGCTATTGGGGTAGTCGAGCTCGGCCATCATCCTTGACTTGATGGGCGAGTTGTTATAAGCAGCGAGCAGCTCCTCTGTTGATCGAGGAAATCGGTCCTCAAAGTCTGGGGCAATTGTGCGTACAGCAGGTGCCGAGACGTTCGTGAGGAAGTCTGATTTGTTGGCTGCAGGGTCGCATAGAAAGCCAAGATCCTCCATGTATGGCACAGCTTCATCTCGAGGCCCGTAAAAGACCTGCTTTCCGTTGTCGAGAATCAGAATCCTGTCGAACTGCTCGTAGATGCCATTACCAGCTTGGTACAGACTGGCAATTGTAGTGAGACCAAGGATATCTGTCATGGCGCGCATGGCTTTCGTCCAATCTAGCGCGGTGCTTGCGTCGAGACCACGAGTGGAGTTATCCCAGGAGAAGACGCTGCCTCTAGTCGCAAGGCATTCGAGAATGGACACTCGCTTGCGCTCGCCACCCGAAACACCACGAATGAACTCATCTCCGACCTTGGTATCCTTTGTGTGTGTGATACCGAGAGACTTCAAGAGGAGTTCTTTGTATATTTGGGCGTATTCCTCCTCGTTCTCGATGTCCGGTGGCAGGTGGAAGGGCACCTTCAAACGTGTGGCGAAGTCGATGGTGTCGCCAACTGAAAGAGCTGGAAAGAAGATCTCCTCTTCGGTGTTCATGATGATCTGACCACGATATTGTTTGGCTTCTTGACTGGTCATGGAACCGAACGAGACGTCGCCAGTAATTTCTGCGAAGCCATTTCTGTGGTTTGATAGAACGCTAAGCAGTGTCGTGCAACCGGCTCCTGGATTTCCAAGAACAAGCAACATCTCACCGGGCTTGACACATCCAGAAGAGTTGTCGATAATGGTCTTCAGGGGCGGGCTTTTACTGCCCTTCCCGAATGGGTTGAATTGAGAGAGAACATTTTCGTTGTAAAGGGCATCACTGCTGATGCCCTTTACTGTGAGGTTCTGCCATGTCACACCCAGCTTCTTCGATTTCCCACCGTTAGTCTCGTTACGTTGTCGTATTTGTACTATATCTGGAGTGATGGGCCATTGTGAGATGTCTCGGGGGTCGGTCTTTTGGCCGGATTCGTCGTCTGGCTGCTCCGCGCTGGAGTTGACGATAGGGTCCGCCAGTGGGGAGGGTGATCGTCCGGAGGGCTTTCCGAGCGAACTCGCCTGGTACATCGCTTTCTCGGGGTCGCGATTGACCTCCATGTTGTAGTTCTTCGAATTCGCTGATTTGCCAGACGTTGACAGTAGAAGAACTTCAAATGGACAAAAAATGCTGGAGAATAGACAACTGGAGTTGCCGGTGGGAGAGTAGCAATATCACGCACAAGATATAAGAACAAATTTCGCTCAATTACTGAACAAATCGCCTCCTTTCGGCTTGATGACATATTCAACTGTCTCACCTGGATTATGAGGTATGTCCGATCGGAGTGATTATTAAACGTTCCAGGCTCAGATTTGGCTAACTAAATAAAGTTGAAATAGGATTACTATTGGTGCGGCTCGATTGATGGACCCATGGAATTGGGTGGGACCTCGTAACCTTCAGCCCCTGGATCCGGGAAGATCCTACGCTAGGCTTTACTAATCAGTCTGTTGGATCCCCTGTACCGATGATATTGTCCTGTCACCCTGATACGCACTACTCATGTGACGAACTGAGAGAGTGGTCAAATACCACTAGGACCCTTTGGGACAGGCTTATTCATCGTTCACCCAATTCCCCCTAGTATTTGTACGGTATTCCGGGCACATTCGGAAGTACGGTGTTGTAACACGCCGAAGCTTACAGTGGTGTAACATTAGTATTTGACCTCCGGTACTTCGGCCTAGGACCCACTTTGTTATACTGCCTGGCAGAAACCTCGGAATTCAATTCAATTTAATAGCTAGTATGCCACCCGCCATACTTAATGACATCAGCTACCCTATGAGGCATTGTCTCCGATAGATGCTTAAAGAGATCGATATCTAGCGCTTCCCATGCTTCCTGCGCAGCTTCTAGTAGTAATTCTAGCGTAGGTTCATTATTAGGAAGCTGCATGAGCTCTGGGTGACGCTTCAGGATTTCCGCTTTAAGCAGCGCCCAGAGGTTCTCGATCGGGTTCAAATCAGGCGAATAGGGAGGCCATTCCATGATATCGCATTGGAGCTCATTTAAAGCGTCCCGTACGATATATGCCGTGTGAACAGGCGCGTTATCTTGCTGAAAAATAGCATTAGAATCAATGCTATTAAGGAGCGTAGGTAAGACGCGCCGATAGAGCTCTTCGATCGTACGTGAAGAGACGCCACCTCTTCGAGATAGGGGATCTCCGAATAGGGGAATAAGGCCTGATCGACGTGAAAGTCCGGAAAAAGCAGCCCAAAACATCTGCTTAATTTGCTTCCCCCGCGCTAGAACCATTTGAACCTGATGGCCTTCTTCCGAATGCTGAAAAAGCTGATCTTTCGGACGCGTAAAAGTCCATTCTTGACGCTGGCCAATGCCACGTTCAACCGTACATTCGTCAGACCAATAGACGCGGGCCCAATCCTCTGATATAAAATGCTGATATTGAAGAGCCCAGCGAAGACGTTTCTCGGCGTGTATAGGCGTCAATGCCGGCCGCTGCATCTTCCTCCATTTTCGAAGGCCCATTTCGTGGGTTAGACGCCAAATTGACATACGGTGGACTTTAAAATCAACCTCTCCAAGTAGATCCTCGATCAAAATTGAAGGCTTTTCTTGTATAATATCGTAGATATGGTCACGATCCTCTTCAGTAATCTTCCTCGGTAGACTTCCGCAGAACCCAGTTTTCGACCCAATTCTTGGCATTGCCAAGAACCCAGTAACCCAGTTTCGACCCAGTTTTATGCATAAACACGTATAAATGATACTAATTAGGAAAGTCTTGGTATTTTTATGTATTTTTATGCAAAAAACTGGGTTATATATTTTGAGATGACTGGGTTTTGGGTCCAAGTCTTCGACCCAAATTGGGTTTTGCGGAAGTCTATTCCTCGGCTGGCCTGAGCGTGGAAGGCTTTCATGCTTTTGACGCTTTGCTTCTTGGGTAAGCGTATATTGGATGGTTGAGCGTGGAATGTCGGGAAAGCGCTGCTTCTTAATAGTCGTAGCACCCCAGCCATTTGCAGCATGTAATTCGCAGATCACCATATACGAAATCATGACCACGACTTACCGCAACCATGCATTAAAAGAGCTTAAATATATATTTTGCTTATAGAGAATTACCTTGGCATGCCGAATGTTCAACGTTTATTTTGATAACTTGAATATTCATAGAGTTATGGTCGTTTGAATCTGATCATATTTGAGGCCAATGCGCTGATATAAGCATACACTAAACCTATTTGAATTTCGTGGTCAAAACTAAACCCTTTTCGAATTTCGTGGTCAAAACTAAACCCTTTTTGAATTTCGTGGTCAAAACTAAACCTCTTTCGGAACACAACTTACTTTTATCTGATAGATTCGATTTTAGGTTCGATTGCTATGCTGACTGGATTTTCTCGGGGCCCCTATTCGTATCATTGAAAAAATAGAGGCCTTTCTCGCCGCAGAAGTTCGCATCGAGAATACCCCCACTAGCTTATTATGGCACAACTATCAGACGCTCCAACACGAAAACGAGGACGACCGCGAATATACACGTCTGCTCAGGCAAAACAAATATCAAATGCCACGCAACGGCGGAACCGGCGACAGTTTACCCGCGCTGTATATCGTGACCAGCAATTCGACCAGCACTATTCCGCCACAATACCCCTATCCACTGATATCAATGAACCATCGTTAAGCTATTTTCCTCCGGGGGAACTTTCCATCGCGACCGAGGTTGAGCAACTTCTACCAGCTCTCAGCCCGGACCTTCTACCGTGGGACTCATCGATACCTAATATTCCGCCGATAGATAACGGGGTACTACTAGAATCCATGAGTGATATAGCCAATAGTCCTACTCAAGCAATCTCTCCAGAGAGTGCACAAGAAGAGACCACCCAAGCCAGTCTTATACCAGGGGTAACTGAAATTCCGGTTCAAGCGACTGGGCCGTTTGTGGTTCCACCTCCTGATCAAACCGAAGACGCAACAACTAATACGGCTATCTCTCAATTAGCCCAGCTTCTTACTGACCAGCTCCAACAACACCATGGCTGCTGCCGCCAGTGCCATACGCAGCAGGAGAGTGAACATGAGATACAGCATACGGAGCATCTCGGTCTAGGAGAGTATCTAGACCAGATCCAGGCAGATGGAGGATACCCCGATGTTCTTAGTGCCGCAACAATAGCTAGACGCGAGGAAAACCTGGCAGGAAAGACTAGCGCAACCCGAAAACGCGAGATCTATACCGGGATTAGTTCAGTCACGCCTAACACTCGTCCAGTCCACCTCTGCCTTGCAGCCGACCACCAGCCAGAACGCCCGACAGCGGTGACTTTTGATATCGACAGTATTGTTGGCTTCGCGCATAGTCTAGCAGTGGCCAAACTTGGAGTGCGGTGGAACTCGACTCAGATGCCTGTCTCTGACCTTCGTTCAAGCCTACATCTGAATCCTATTCCTGTACACTATATTGGAAGCAATGGTCGCGCTCATCATGTCCGACGGCCGGTGCATAAGATCCCACATTATACGTTTGGGCGGTTGGTTGGGTTTGAGGATATCTCACTTTACTTCTTATTCCCGCGCCTCTACCGAGAAGAGCAGCAATCTAGTCGCCTCCGTGATGACGACTTTCGGATCTGGATAGACCAGATACTTCTTCCTGCAATTTACCGCCATCACGACAGCTCACTCGTCCAGCATTATCCTTCGAGCTTTGACCACAGCCGGCTGAACGCTACGGCCCGAGGTGTTGAGATACGCTCGCAGCGAGCGGATCCGGTCGCTCGGGAGCAGCTTCTATTCTATTTTCTCCCACCAAATGCCCTCTCGCTTGTGTGGGCAAGTATTTTAGAGACCATCCAGAGCGCTGGACTACAGCAATTCTCGGACGTGACCATCCTCGTCCAAGGGAAAAACCTCAAGACATTGACCAAAGCAAATACGTGGGACGGTATGATGCAGGAGTTTGCCCAGCACTGGGGGAACACGATCGACGAGTCTTATCTATCCGATCAATTCTACATCGATATCGGGAAAGAGACCTGTCCTACCGGGGCCTCACAGGTTGGTGGCGTTGGACTCCTCGCATCCAGGCACCGTTCGGACAGGGAGCCTGGTGCAAACCAACTAGTGCCACAGACCATCCTCTGGCGGCGATGCTGCTTAGAATCGTATGCTGAGTGGATTGGGCAGCAGTATCCTCCGGAGTCTCCACGCCCAAAACGGCAGTTTTATCCGATCAGCCTCCTCCACGACTCTGGCAGCCTCACATTAGAGACGCATCGATCCGCCCCGCAGCGGCAGGCAGGCCTTCTCTACACGCAGCTTTATTCAAGTGTGAAGGAGGTTTTTGCGGCAGGGGACGTATACCCATTTACAAACCCGGCCCTCGACACCTTAGCACTAGATCCCCAGCTACGTAAGACTTGGCAGCATGTCGGGGGAGGTCTCAGCCATAACCCTATCCCACGGGGGGTGGTGGAGTCTGGCAGACTCCAGGTTGTGGTTATTCCTTAACTATGGCAGGAAAAGTGGGTCGCACGCCTGACTTCAATCGCCTGACTCCAGGTTCTGTTTCATGGCCGATCGGTCTATAAATTTAGGACGTTATAATAGACTATCTAATTTATATCCCATTTCAATTTTAGAGCCAGGAGTTATTCATGTGGCGAGAAATTCGCGGTTGAAAATCGAAGATGTTTTGATGGGGTGCGCCCGGTTAACGTACGATCGGTGCCTTAGGCATCATTAGTAGGGTTTTGGACCATATTCGTAAAGCGGGGTTCGACTGATTCAGGGGTTTATTTCATGTTTGCTATAGAACTTGACGTTTCTTGGTATAGAACTTGACGTTTTATAACAACATTAATAGATATCGCACTTGCAGCCGTCAGAATGGAACTTGAACTTTTTCACCAGCCATCAACAGACCCAGTTATTGTCTGTAAGCGATGCCAGTACGCAGTTCGGCCAAGAGAGGTTTTTCGACACCTTCAAGGCCCCAATCACCGAATTGGGAAGCCAATTGCTCGGCAGATCAGCGAAGCTATTCAGACCTGGCAGCGGGCCCAAGAGTGTGACGAATGGCAAACTCCGACCGTGGTAACAGACCCAATCCCCAATTTACCGCTTTATTCGGACGGTATATTATGCGGGAAGGGCCAGTCCTGCGAATTTACTGCTCGGTCAATTGGCACGATGCGATACCACTGGCGTGAGTATCATGATTGGGTCGCACCAATAAACCGTGGCGGCTATAAGAAGCAGCCAGGTCTCTCAGCCGCCGAGCAACAGATTCAGCAGTTTACGAGTATAGTATTCTGCCAGCGCGTGTTTCGCCAGGGGGTCGGATCTCATTATACCCGCGTACGTACGGTCGGAGCAGAGGTAGACCCCGAAGCCGAATTAGCACCGACCGTACGTAGTGATCAGGTTTTGGACCAGATCGAACAAGCATTCCTCGAGAAACAAGAACAGCCCCAGTTGATCGAGGCTAGTCAGCGTGACGACGCGAATCCATGGCTTCGACGGACCCAGTGGGCCGTGTATCTACGTGGAATCGACCCCCAAGACTTACGAGACAGCGTCATGGCACCCGATACCGAATCGGCCGATCCGACCGAATTAGCTACTTCCGCTATTTGGGATTCGATGGCTACAGTAGCCCGAATCAGCCAGTTAATTTGTACAAAAACTAGCCATTCCATTCGCACCGAGGCCGTCCGTACGGAGCGGGACCGATTGCCGCATCAGCCATTGCAAGCGTACATGGATGCCGAGAATATCGAGAGACATACGATCCCATGGCAGCAAATCTTGATGTTTTTCGTGCGCACGCAGGCATCGCATGAATGGGCCAGTCCATATTACCGGTTTTCGAAACGGCAGCGTTTAGCGTGGAATACGCTTTGGAAACTGGCCCAGCCGGGATTCAGCGCGCCAGCCAGTCCAGCCAGTCCAGTTAGTCCAGTCAGTGCTAGTTCCGACAGGGCCAGTCCCAATAGAGCTAGTTTCGATAGGGCCAGTTTAGATGACAGTAGTCAGCGAATCGCCAGCGAATCAATAGCGAATCGACGCATCAATAGCAATTCGCCGTTTCAACTAGCGCCCATTGACACCGCGTGTCTAGACTTTTGTATTGAGCTTCTGAACCATCGGACCAAGGTGGAAGACTACGAAAGTGCGCTGATTTGTGCCACGGCAGTGCTTGGTCAGGGCGAGGCTGGCTAGCGTACCGCGCAGAGCTATCCACCCATTTTATCGAAGCTTATTAAGATCGCACGGTTCATGGTGGTCCACAAGGCGTTGAAGCTAGATCCGACAGCGGAGATAATGCTGTCTCAGCTTACAGAGCATCAAATGGCGGGCGAATGGGATACCGAAAGTCCACTAGATTCACCTGAATTCGCATTTTTGACGCCGCCGACGCCGACATCCAACGATGACTTTTACAATTTCGAGACTGGCCCAGTTCCAGTATCGACCCAGTCATCCCATTTTGTCCAATTCAGCCAGGCTCAGCAGGGCCAGCGGTCATTTCATGAGTGGGTGGCTGAGATGGTCAGTCAATTTATGGTCCGTGGAACGAATAGCCCGATGCAATGGCTGTTGGATCTCCGTACTTACGGCTTGAAGATCCATTATAACAGCACGACAACAGGCCACGTTGGCTGGATGAATCAAGACCAGCTATTGTATCAGCAATACAACTTTTCCATGGGGGACTTCCGGGGTTTCGTCCACGGGCTGATTAGTTCGACACGGCAAATACTCCGTGACGAGCTATTATTGAGCACGGAGACTGGGTCAGTTCCCGCGATTCCGTGGCGGGATATCTGCGATGATCCCACAGAGACGGCCCAGGGATGGAGTTTTTTGAATGACACCCGTACGCCGTGGCCCGTGGCTGGCAGTGAATGGATGATGAATCGAGTACGGCAAGAAGGGCTGTTACGGCATCGTTTTATTGAACGCAATACAGGCCGGCTACGAATTGCAGCGATTGACGTGTATCTTCAACGGGTGGCCCATTTTCGGGAGAAGCTTGCTATTGCTGTTCATGTCAGTGGGGGCCAGCCAGCACGTGCCCCAGAGCTATTAAGTATTCGACATTATAATACGAATAGCGGCGGCCATCGCAATATTTTCATCGAGGATGGGCTAGTGGCATTTGTGACGCAGTATCACAAAGGGTTTTACGCATCGAATGACACCAAGGTGATTCATCGGTATTTACCCCGGGAAGTCGGTGAATTAGTGGTCTGGTATTTGTGGCTAGTACTGCCGTTTGTCGAGAGATTGGAGGCGTACGTGGAGAAGGTACGGAGGATGGGCCATTCTGAAATTGAAGTGTAAGTCATGTGGTCCATTGGCCACTGAAGTGTTATATATCGGAATTACTGGGTTTCCATTATATATCGGAATTGCTGGGTTTCCATTATATATCGGAATTACTAGGCAACTAGCCACTGATCCGTTATATCACGTTTCGATGCTAATTCCAATCAGTCATCAGAGACAGGCGTTTTTATGGCCCCCCGACCCCAGTACCGGCCGGGATTGGTCATCCGAAAGACTCCGTGAAGTGCTGAAGCGTGAAACCACCATTGGACTCAATGGGCACGCCATCAATTTGAACGCGTATCGTGATATTGCTATTGGCATTAGCCGTCGGTTTATGCGGCCATCCAGCGTATTCCCGAACAACACGCGTCAGGACGTACGAGCGGAGGCATCCCAAGAGGATGACGAAGAGAGCATGAATGCGGAGCAATGGATGGGCCACATTGCCGATCTGCAAGCGGCCCATTCATCCCACGTGGCCGGCATGATTTACGGCCGTGGGATCACCGAACAGCCCGGTACGACGGCCCACCGGCGAGAGATGTTTCGGCTTAGCAGCACCGATTGGCATCGGTTTTTAGGGTTTGTGTCCACGGATGACGGGGGTGCCGAGAGCGCATTAGGACTGGGCTAGTTTTCGCCGTGGCAAAAAGAAGCCGAAATGGGCCGTACAGAACGTCGATGGCAACTGACCTAGGCGGCTATAGAGCCCGAAATGCAACGAATGATAGGGAATCGCGCGGTGCGGCTTCGGGGGGTGCAAGCACCGGCGTTGGAAGCTATTCAGCAGGGCCAGAGTCCGGTAGTGGCGGTGATGCCGACAGGGGGTGGCAAAAGCTTGCTATTCATGCTACCCGCGTGGATCAGCCCCCGTGGGGTAACAGTGGTGGTCGTGCCGCTAATCGCATTACGCGGAGACATGGTCCAGCGGTGCCAGCGACTCGGCATCTCGTGCGTAGAGTGGGAGAGCCGTCGGCCGGCCGATCAGGCATCCATCGTACTCGTGACACCCGAATCGGCCATTACAGAGGATTTTATGACGTTTTTGAATCGACAGCGTCTCGGCCATCGGCTTGATCGGATCGTGATAGACGAATGCCACGTGGTGCTCAATGATCAGGCCAATTTCCGGCCCGCCATGGCCCAGCTAGGCCGTTTAATCGTGGCTCAGGCTCAGATGATATACTTGACCGCTACGCTGCCACCCACCGCGGAGGATCAGCTTTTACAGCGATTACGGACGACGCGAGAGAAGGCCCATATGTTTCGAGCGCGGACGAATCGGACAAACGTGGCATATCGGATCTGGCAGCCCACGCTGTCGAATCGATATCGTAACAGCTACGATTGGATCGAGAGCCCCGACGTGATCAGCTTTATCAGAGACCGTATCACGCGCGCGCGTATGCAGACAGGCCGAGTCGTGATTTACGGGCCGACCACCAAGACGGTGGAGCAACTAGCCCAGCTGATTGACAGTGAAGCGTATCACAGCCGCACGTTAGACCGCAAGGGCGTACTTGCCCGCTTTCAGGCCAATGCTACGGGGGTAGTAGTGGCGACTAGTGCGCTAGGAATGGGCGTGGATATCCCCAATATTCGGAGTATCATTCATATTGGACTTCCCCGGAGTTTATTGGATTACGCGCAAGAAAGCGGACGAGCTGGCCGAGACGGGCTACGCAGTGAGGCCATTATCATCCAACCCGACGGGTTTGAACGGCCAACGTGGGATCCCATTCACGAAGACCCAGTGAAGGCGGATGTCGAGCAAGACCGACTGAACCGATATATATATCAAGGATGTTGCCGACGGGTGATATTGGATGAGTATTTGGATGGCCACGTACGGCAGTATTGTGATACTACGGAGCAGCGGTGTGATCAGTGTGATCAGAACTGGCAAGTCAATGAAGAAGTGATGAGCGAGACGGCTAGTGAGACAGCTAGTGAAATGGCCAGTGAAATGGCCAGTGAACGTGAGAGTGACAGGAATGGGCCATTTCCAGCATCGGATCCCATGGTTTTGTCCCATGTTTTGAATCAGTCAGCGGAGACCCCCGT